CAGCTTAAAATCTCAACGTAATAGGTCTGTCTGAAAGGTAAACTAGCTAAGAGATTTGTTGCCCGACACTGGGACTGGGTAGTGAGCGTTGCCAGTTTTCTGCATACCTGGAGGTCAAAACCCAAAAGCACAGTGATTAGCTTTCCTCCTTACAGATTTGGTGTTTCAACACCGCAAAGGCTGTGTTGCACGTTCTGTTTGCAGAAGTTGCGTTGTCTGGGAACATCAGTGTGACAGAAATAAACAGCAGCATTCCAGCAGGGGTTATTCCAGATCCTGTACCAAGTGCTGATGTGTGAGCCTATTAAATCTAAATTAGAAACACTTTCTTGAGCTGCACTAGCTCTGGGCAATACTGGCTGCCCAGCTGCTTGGTTTTATTATACTAGTCCTAGAAGAACAGTACAACACTGCTAAGTAAGAGCAGGATAGTTTTGAACTGTGCTGCGACTGCTTCAGTGAAGCTGGGTATGCTAAAATATACAATGTTTATTTACATCAAAATGTGTATTCATCGCTCTGTAAGAGGCACTTTTTTGTTTTATACAGCTAAACCAAAAGGTTCCTAAGTCGGTCGACAGCAGGACTGTTGTGCTTATCCAAGCCAGCGTCTTGGTTTCACACATGAAACCTATGTATTGTATCAGGTACTGGGGAGGCATGTTGATTTAAATGAAAATGTGCTCATAACCTGAATATAATAAATAAACCATCCTTCCATTGTCATGCTTTATCCATACAATGCTTTTCAGGAATTCCCAATGAATTGCTTAGTTTCTTTTGTCTTTTGAATAAGGAGCAGCCGTAGTGGTTGAAAATGGTGTGCCACAGCGCGAGTTCCATTCTCCAAAGTATTTCAGTCTTGTGCGCTGCTGCAATTGGCAGGAATGAGTAGAAGAAAGAAAAGAGACTTACTTGGATGGACCCATTACCCAAGTAGCCCAGCGTGTCTGGGGTGACCAGGGAGGATGTGACTGCGGAATATCTGAGTGAGAAAAGGCATCTCTGAGCAAGCATTGCTCTGGGGGGGGGCACCATTCTGGCACGGATCTCTGGCACGCTGTAGGAAAACACGGGCTTCCCTTGCACATGGAGCTGTTTCCTGTAATGCTGTATTATTGTTCATGAGAGTGGGGTGTGGTCTGGCCTGCCTTTCAGTAAATCATGCAATTTCTGTGCTGTGGGCATGTGACTGTCCATTAGACCTTTTCCAAGAGAAACCCCACAGGGGAGAAACAATTAGACCGAGCCTTCTCCTTTTGTCCTTTCATCTGCTGCGCTTGGCCTGAAATTGGCTTTCCATACTCCTGTGACGCCGATTGATCGAGAGTCTTGTGTTTTTCAGGAGTGGGTACTGCTATAGAAGGGAAAAGTGTCAGTGTGCTTCCAGAGCTGTGTGAGGCCTTGTTCTGCTGTCGCAGTGCCACAGTTGCCCAGCCCGACAGCCGGTTTGGCCTGGAGAGGAGTTCAAGGAAAGGCACAACTTGCTGCTCTTTCTCCGGTTTAGGGGAGATCTGGGATTTTCTCCTTCAAAACATTTCTTGAACTCTTCACTGCTGACAGGGACCTGAAGGTGGGGGGGGTGACTGCATCCTGCTATTGAACGACGCACGGATAAGACGACGTGCTTTTAGCTTATCTGAAAAGCAGTTTGAGTAATTCCTGACGGCACCACACATACAATCAGCTTTTCTGATTGTATGGTCATACAGCGAAATTGGAGCGCAGTGCAGACATGAAGAGGCTTGTCTTATGTCTGGCAAAAACACAGTCTACATCAGTTTTTCATATTAGCCATTTAAGAATGATCACCACACCTAGTTCTGGTGGAACTGTAAAACTTTGTTTTACTAGGAGAGAAACGGTAGCTCCCTTTGTGTTTATTGAGCCTTTCTGCAGATGGTATAGTAACTTGAAGAGCTTTTGCTGCTGTCCCTAATGTTGGCACATGGCTGATAATGGTAAATCTGATTGTGGTCCTGTAGGAATCGGTCTGACTTGATATCTTCCATCACTTACAGGGAACAATGCAGCAGATGTTTGGTAAGAACTTTTTTTGCCTTGTGTTCGGCAATTGATTTGAAAACTGTTCAGTAATCCTCTAACCAAGCCAAGTTGCTTGAGAATGAGATTCGTAATGACAAAATACGGATTTGGTATTAACGTGAAAGTTGGGCGGAAAAGATCCGTGGTCTGATGGAAAATAACTCTGGATGTAAAGGTGGGGCATTTTGTCTCTCTCTGCAGGTTGTTCTGGGCATTGCCAACAGCCGAAGGAAATGACCCGTGCCTAAAGACGGTAGTTGCTCTTTGGTTTAATGAAAGTGCCACGTTTTAAAATGTAGGATGGTGTAAATGTTGAAAAATTAATGTTTTTTTTTCCCCAGTTAAATGTCTAAATTTAAGCCAATGAAGCATTCATATGGGGAAAGGGCCACACAATTGAACATCGCTAGTGCAATGGAGGGAGTGCGAGGGAGTTCTGCTGCTCAAGACGTGAATGGACCCTCTGGTGTGGATGAGATTAATGCTACATTGTACTTGAGTTTCGTTTCCGTGTTGAAAGGCCGCTGCAGAGCTGAGGTTTCGTGCAACGTGTTAGTCATTCATGCCAGGTTGTGAACGGTTTTCCAGCACTTGAGATGCACAGGAATCTGTTCAAGGATAAGGAGACTCCTAAACGCCATTGCAGTTTGAGAGACTGGAGAGGTGAAGTTAATTTGACTTGGCATTAGGACAGTCAACATTGACAGTTCTTGCATAAACGCTTGCTAGGCATTTCAGGTCAAGCTAATACCTGGTTCTGAAATTTGGAAAGGGAGTCTCATGAACACCTGGTTCATCCCCCCCAGGTTTTGCCTTGCGAGAGGTAAAACAGTTCTATTTCTGTCAGCAAGACTTTTTCAAAGACCTTGACTTTTCCCTGCATGGTGGGAGATTTTGCTAGGCTTTCTGTGATGTGTGGGCGAATGTAATGAATAATGAAAAGTTACTTATTAAATCTGCACTGGATGATGGATGGTGGCATTCAAGCTTTAGACTACAAGTACGAATTCCTAAACTCCTGCCCTTCCAGCTACATTGGGCTTATCCTGTTTCAGGTTAGGAAAACAACCCTGGTGCTTCCTCCTCCTTCAGAGTGCCATCTGCTGATAATACGAGACGGTTTGAGGATCAATGTTAGGGTGAAGTAATTTGCTGAAGCGTTTTCCAAGCAGCGTGTGCTCAGTAAGCTTGTGTTTCTGAAAGAAACTTGCAGGTAGGAGCAGATTATCACTTGACCAAAAGTTGCCTTGGGACCCAAAACCCAGAACTGAGTGTGAAACAAGTGGTGTGGGAATGCTAACCCTAGCTGGGGATTCAAAACTGTTTTTATTTTTTTCAGGATTTGGACCCTTTGGAGAACATACAGTTAATGCAAGCTGGGTGGCTGTACAGGTATGTAACTCGTGGTGCAGGTTAAAGGAAAAGCAACTTCTTAAACACTCCCAGACTTGAGCTTGGGTGAATCTGCTATGTTTCTCTTGGCTCTCTTCAGTATGAATAAGTGCACTTGCACTAATGCACAGATATTTAGCATTTGCAGACCAGGATTTCCCTTAGGGAACGGAGTTCAGCAGGTTGCCTCTTCATCTGCAGCTAAAGCTGTAGTACAGAAGAAAGAAATTGGTCCAGTTAAGCCTTAAAGTGTTTTCATTAATTCTTCTCCCAGGTGGAGAGCTGTTTATAAAATCTCTATAACTTGGAAAAGAGGAGAATCCTGCCAGAGTCCGTACATCTGAGACTCTTTCCAGTGCCATTGCGTGTTCACACTTGTAAACTTCATTTTAGGAGCCTTCAGACCTTCAGAGGGGATCTAGCCAGCCGAGAGGTTAAAATGTATGTTTAAATCTTGCACTCCTGTTCCACAGTATGAATAGTGCAGACTCGTTTCTCTCTATGGACTGGAGAGCACTGAGGCTTAGCTCCGGACTCTGCTTTTACAGGTCTCTGTCTGCATTTGAAAAGAGAAACTGGAGGGGGTGGGGGGTGAAAATGGTGCTTAGGTCAGGGTGGTCCAATATCTGCTGAGATATTGCTGTTGTGCCACTTGAATCAGACTTGTGTAATGCATTTTGTTTCTGGTGTTTACTAGGATTAAGCATTACAGGTGCAGATTAATTCTTTTATTCCACCACAAGTAAACAAGTTCTCATTTGCTGTAATGACCTGCCGTCCTGCAGCAGGGAGCGAGGACTGGAGCCAGGAGCCATCTGAGTGAAGCGCCTTGCTCAGGGCTGCTGCAGTAGCAGCCCTGTCCCACCCTGGATTTGAACCCTTGACCCAGTGTTCGATCCAGTGCTGGAACCACTACTCTCTGCTGTGGCCTGTACTGTACGCAGCAAAGCAGATTCCCGTGATTAAAGAAGGCTTGAGGCATGGCTTTGCTTTATGGTGTTAAGGAGCAGTCTGATTGAAGCTGGTGTGTTCCAATTGCGTAAAAAGTCATTTAACAATAAGACTGCCTGTATATTTGGAGGTGGGGGAGGGAGAGCTAGTGCTCCTAATTGAAAGCGTGGCTCCCTGTGTTGGACATTTGTCCGGATCTGTTGCTGAGCAGGATGACATCATAAGTGGTGAATTTTGAGCCTGGAGAAGCTGGGGGAAGGAAGGGTCTGCCTTTTATTGGAAATTAGAAGGGGGACAATGGTTGTCAGGGTGTCTAGACAGACCTGATAGGGATATTAAATGCAAACAAAGGGCTGCATTGTGGAGGGGTCAGGGGTTTGGTCAAACATGCCCCCCTCTTCAATATTTATAGGGTGTTGAGGCTGGGACTTGTGCTGTCTGGGGATTAGAATGAGTGTTGGTTTGGGGGCTTTCACTCTTGGAGCTAAAGATTTTGCCTACTTAAAATGCAAAGCTTTTTTGTTTTTAAACCTAAAATGACAAAGAAATAAACTTGCAAGGCCCTTGAATAAAATTAATGACACTATTAAAGAACAATGCATTTTTAATTTAACTCGAGAACCAAGAATTTGAGTTTCTCAAAACACTTGTTTTTTTTTTTTACACTTATTCTGGGGTCTCTTGGTCAGCTTGCACTGGGAAACCTTTCTTCACTTGTCCTGCCTCCAGTCATTGAGTTTTCCAAAAGACTGTAAAATTCTTTGAAAGAATTAACTTAAAAGCATTTTCATGTTTAGCATAGGCTAGAATGAAGCACTAATCCTGGTTAATAGTTCTTAAATTTTTAAAGTTTTATTTTTGGAGAATGTGATGGTTTTTACAATGAAGTAAGCACACCATTTGTTACAGGGTTACAGACCTGATGCTTTTCCATAACAGAAATGCTAACGTCCTGGCTTTGTAGTCTACAGCTTGGCAAGATACATTTTTTCAAGTGAAACCGAGAAGCTACTGTATGTGTCAGCTTGTGGATTTAAAAATTCTAACAGGAATTGTAAAGAAACGTTAACGGTCCCTAAATCGGGGATGTCCAGTGTTGGTCCTGGAAAGGCACAATTTCATAGGCTCTATAGATCACCCTTAAACCATATATTTCTTAACATTGGCACCCCTTTTTTCCCCCCAATCTCTTAATTGACCAACACTTAAAAGGTAGTTTAGAAGGTTTAAATGCTGTTTCCCAGTAGCTTTGAGACCATATTTGATCATTTCTGACTTAAATGAGTAAGCAACCCTAATTCCTGTTCCAAGCCTGCATGAGTATGCCTGGCTAGGACCAGAGTTTGCTAGCCCTGCCCTAGGGAAATGGATAGGCCTTCAGGGTGTGGCGGGTGTGAGGACAGTGAGACCAGTTTGTCACTATCCCTCACGAGAACAATACCCAGAGCTCAGTCCCACTGAAAACACTAAGTTTGCACTTGGGCCTTATAAATCATCTCCCAATCACCAGAGATGACAATGAGCCTTAAAATTTCAATTTGTTGAAATACAGAATAATTGAAACTTTAATTGATGTATATCTATATACTTTTCTCCCTTTTTATAAATTAAACGTATGCATCTTATTTTAAATGTATATAGTTCGGTAAGAAGTAAGACTTGTATATTTGATTAAAATGTAAAATATTAAGGAAATATAAGAATAGCCTAAGTTCTCATGTATGATGTGTATTTGTATTGTAAAAGAATGGTTGTGTAATGGTTGTGCCATTTGTCTTGAAATGGTTGTATCTGTTCCCTAAAAAAATAAAATTGTCAAGTCTGCTTGCAGGATCGTTGTCATATTTCAAAGTATTGAGAGAAAACATCCTTTATCCTGATCAAACTGTTCTTGCACATTTGATGGTTGTTTTGTAATATTTGGGCTGTTAAGTATACATTCTGCGCATCCCGAAAATGAATAACCATTAAGACTCAATTGCAACAAACTTTGGGATTAAGCACATAGCTGTCCTCCTATCAGGAGATCATCTTCAGCTCTGAGCTCTATTCCAATTAAAAAACGTGTGGAACAAAGTTGGAGACCAGCTGAACTTTGCTCAGCTCTCCTCTGAGGGCTCAGCATTGTTTTAATTGGCACAAACTTCAGGGGGCTGAATCGGATCATTTTAATTAATGTGATCAGTAAGTTAATACATAGGCCACATTAATATATAATTACTTTCTCATGTTTATATGTAACTGAATGTCCCTAACAACTTGGTGTCCATTTTTAAGTTAAGAACAGCACTTATGCTAAAATATACCAGAAAGAGTATGTAAGTGCTAATGCGATTGTGTTAGTCAATTGCATTTAGTCACAAAACAAACTAATACAGCAGTTGGGGGTTTGGGTTTGAACATGTATCATATTATAGGGACTTTTATTTGCATTGATGTGAATTTTTGTAGAAATCCTTCATACCATAAGCAAACATCAATAATCTGGCTTTATGTACTGGCTACTTTTGTATCTAAAATAGTATAAATTGAAGCGTTATTCAGGGGCTGCATCTGTTGCACTTGCATCTTTTTTTAATTTGTTTTTGAATCTTCCTCATTTGAAGTAGCAAGATAGATACGAGATAAATGACTAACAGGCATTTACTGCATATTCTTTACAGCGGAGTTAAATAAGCTACGAAAAGCACCAGCTAATGTCCAGTAGCGTTGGCGGTTTTATTTCTTCATTGGCATTAATAAGGTGCTTGTACGTGGGAGTGGATTACATCTACACTAAAGAAATTATCTACAGCTCTAACTTAGCAGGCTTCTGTAACTGATCTTGTCAGGCGATTTCAGTTCATTGCCATTCCTCTGGCCTTGGGAGCCTTTGGGATTTTAAATAGTGTTTTGCTTGCCTCTCATTTGGTCCACGTCCCAGTCCAGTAAGGGGCAGTACCATTACTGTAGCATGTGCGGCCCTACACAACCTTGCTATCGACTTGGATGGGCCTCCTGTTCTGTCTCCGAGGTGTCCCACATGTTCCAGCTGTTCCATGACCCCAGGACAGAGAAGGGACAGTGTTCTGTAGAACTGTCACGGATCACTTCCAAAAATAGGCTGATAAGAGTTTCTGAATTGTACCCTTAGTTTTACCTACAAAACTTATTCTCTGCACCCCCAATTTCTCAATGTCCCCCTTTTCCCCTGAGAACCACAACCGTACAGAGGCTCAATACGGTAGACAAATACAGCAAGTCTGTTGAACACTTAAGACCTACACCCCAGTTAAATGTGTTCCCTTAGTTTCAGTTCTCTTCACTTCCCAGGAAATAGTGAAAATTCACTAGTGCATACTAAAGGCTCTACATACAGCTGCAAATAGATGTACCTTAAAGTTCACTATTCATGTGGTGTGACTGGAAAGCAACTTGTTAATGGCAACGGATTCAAAGATGCGTTATAGTGACGATATTATTTCCACGTTTTAATGTGATCTGGTGTTCTGCTTGGCACACTACTGACTTGCTGAACCCATGTGAAGAGTAGATAAGGCAGTCCCCTACTTCGGTAACCTCTATAATGTAATGTATACTTTACATTTAATAAAGGTTACTTTATTAAACCTATACAATTTCTTGCATTAGGAATTCGTCTTTTCGCAGACCCCAGCTTGCTCTCCATGAGACACACAGACAGGGAGAGAAGCTTGGGGTCAGAGCGCAGGGTCAGCCATTGTACAGCGCCCCTGGAGCAGTTGGGGTTAAGGGCCTTGCTCAGGGGCCCAACGGAGTAGGATTCCTCTGCCAGCTGTGGGACTTGAACCGGCAACCTTCCAGTCACAGGCGCAGATCCTGAGCCACAGAGCCACCGCTCCACTCCTCTAGAGGGCAGCAGCTGTTACTTGGGGATTGTTGCAGCTGAGAACAGTTAAGCGTGGTGCTTAAGTGGCCATGTTGGTTGCAATTGGTCCTAAAGTAGCACATTAGTTAACACAGGTTCACCTTCAGTCAATATGCTGTTTTCATTTTGTGCCAGTTGACCCTGTGGGTCCTAGTAAGGTTTGAAAAGCAGTGTGCTGATGTGAATTGACCTCTTCTTTCAGGAGCTGAAGACGTTAGGCCTTGGCAACGACGTGGACCTGCATGTGTATGAGGTGCCCGTGGAGTATCAGAAAGTCCAGAGCTTGGTCCCTTCGCTATGGAAACAGTACCATCCTCAAGTACGGTCCTGAGTCCCATTAGACATCTGTCTATAGTGCATGCTTGTAAACAAGGGTTTTACACAGTGAAGATGAGCAAGGAGAGGAAGAGGGCCACTGCAATTCAGACTTCTCAAACTAACAGGATAGGTCTCGGACTGAACTTTTGCTTTTTAAATAGTGATTCTTCTCCATGGTGTTTCTGCTCTGAAGTGTTTGACGAGCAGTCTTGTTGCACACTTGGCAAGAGAAGCAGCAGGCTTGTGTTGCACTGAAGGCCTTTGCTCTCCCTCCCTTCCATTTCAGTGGCTCTGGCAGAAGCTATTTTACTGGAACAGCGGCCCAGTAGTAGTATTTATGGAATTAAACATTGCAATGTGTATAGAGTGATGAACAGGGGACACAATCGCCTTAGATACAGCGGTTGTATTCGAACAAAAGATTTGGGAAATGTTTGTTCTAGACATTGTTTTGGCTCGGCCTTAAATGAGTTTGGTCTAACTATGGGAAACGTTAACAAAAATGATGTGGCTCGATCATGCGTTATCACGCAGCTTCCCAGATGAGGATTTACCATTACAGACAAATGCATTCTTTACAAAACAAAAATGGCAGGAAACTCGCAGCCTCTCCGATTCCTTGCATCCCATCTGTCCAGGATACGCTCTGGGTTACGGGAATCTTAGTGGGAATGGGCGGCTTGTAGATGGTAGGATGGCAATTGGGTTTGTGCCTGGACTTGCATTTTGTTTTTTCTTTCTTCGTCTGATACAGCTGGTGGTCCATGTTGGACTCTCGGGGATGGCGACAACGGTTACCCTGGAGAAATGTGGCCGTAACCATGGCTACAAAGGCCTGGACAACTGCAGTTTCTGCCCCGATTCTCAGTGCTGCGTAGAGGGCGGCCCGGAATGTATAGATTCCGTTATTGACATGGACTCGGTGTGCAAGCGGGTGACGGCCTCGGGACTGGGGGTGGCCGTTTCGGTGTCTAAAGACGCTGGCAGGTAAGTCTTGACAGCAGGGATCGGGATTGCAGTTCTCTTTTTTCTCATTTAAGTACTGCCTGACCCCCTCAACTTCTGGAGGCTTGAGGAGTAGAACTGGGAAGTGATGCTGGTTTGTTAGGGGCTCAGGGCTTGTGTATTGGTTACTTTGATGTTCGGATGGCTCTGACGTTTGACGTAAGCATTTCAGGCAATGGGAATAGTTACTGGGGTGTAATCGAGCTTCTGTGTTTGTATCTAAATCTAGAACAGCACAATACAGACATGACTGAGTGACAGAGGTAACTCCATGTTCACTCATGTTTAAATATTCATGCAAAAGTGACTGGAATCGTAGGGTACTTCCACATCTTTAGAATGTGTTGGGTTTTTTATGCCTAGAAATCACTGCCAGTACCCTTTCATACCTGTGGTGCAGTGCACTTAAATGGCATTGCTTAATTTCACAAAACAAAATGCCAGTTTAAATAAGTAGACAATAGAAGATTAGGTCTATGTTGAGACATTTTGCCTATGAATTGTTTAAAATAGAAAACATACTATTTCTATCAGTTTCCCAAAAATTGCAATAGTGCAGGTTTTTTAGCAAAACTACAATCAGATCCGTGGAACAGACTGCTTTAGAAGGTGACCATAATGAGTGTGCTTATTGCTCATCATGACTGCCAAGTGACCCTTAAAACACATGGAAATGTAGCGCCACAGGTGCGGATTAGCACATCTTGCCTACATTAGTTAACATTAGGGTGGTCCAGGATTCGCGATAATTAGGTTCTGCAAAACTGTTTCAGAAATCTTAACCACCATGTTTTAAATGCAGTCTTTGTGGATTGCTTTGGTTGTATGTATGTAATGTAGGACCTGCAGACTGATTACAAGTTTGGGCCAGTTAGACTTTTTCGCTGTACTTTCTACAATGCGCTGTAACGCCGAGCTTTGACAGTCTTCGTGCTCCAAGCTGGTTTTTCTGTTGAGGTCAGTTGTCAACGCGTTTCTCCGCAGATACCTCTGCGACTACACCTACTACACTTCGCTCTACCTGAGCCACGGGCGCTCGGCGTTCATTCACGTGCCTCCGCTGGACAAGCCCTACAGCGGCGAAGATCTGGGCCGGGCCCTGCGGGCCATCGTCCTGGAGATGCTGGACCTACTGGCCCAGGCCGAGGACAAAATCAACTGCCAGCACGGGCACTGAGGAGAGCCAGCCGGGAGCTCCGCTTGACGGTTTGCACTTAGGAGAACGAACAGTCTGTGAATTCCTCGCCTTCTCCCCTCCCCACACACCCCCCCAGATCCAACCCCCACCCCCACCACAGCTCATTGCCGAAGCCCACTCGTTTCACCACACCAGCGTACCTCCACAGTCCCAAAACCCGGGGAGGACAGGTGGAGACCTTCAGGTCGTTTGTACTTGCGAGATGGTGGAAGGAGGAGGAATAAAAGGAGCAGCCACCTTCATGTCCTTCTGCTGGAAGGGAGCTGATCGTGTCTCCAGTGCTGTCTGTGGCGTGATGGACGTGCCACTGAGAATATTAAGACCCACAGCTCGCTGTCCTGCCCGAGGCTACTGTAACTCAGATACTAACAACCAGCCTTACGATTTGGTGTTTTATGTATTTTGTTCACTGGTGGTATTGGAATTTTCTTTTTTCAGGATTGGCTTCTGCCTGTCTTTTTATTTAAATCAGACTTTAGATTTCCTGTATGTTGGCTAAATTCCTGGGGGGGGGCATGACTAATCTTGTTAGCTATTTCTGAGGGGCTCTGGATAATTTTAAATTCTATTTTTTTTTTTAATTTGGTAGTGCGCGTAAAAAATCAGTGATTTGCTAAAAATGATCGGTAGACTTTTATTACTCCTTTTAAAAAGTGTTTCAATACCTCCCTCCTGAAAAGAAGCTTGGTCTTCATTTTTTTAGGAGAGTTTGGCAGTTCAGATGGTTTTCTAGTGAAAACAGCATTCGTTCCTTGGTTAAAAAGGCTGGACTGTGATCTGTAATGTTTCCTAGGCATTTTTGTTTTTACTTTTGGGATCTTTTCTTTATAAGAAGCAGTACTGTACCTTCTAAGGTGGTTTAAATCGAGTTTTTTTTCAAGATTTTTTCAAGAAATTCAAGATGTCAAACAGATCTTCAACTCATGTAGCAATGTGAAACCAAGCTGGTCATGAATTTTTCACTTTGAATCTGTAGTGTTTAATTTTCATAACTGTCAGACACTTTTCCTAGAGTACTGTACCTTACAATTAATGGCTTTAGCTAGGAATATTCCTACAACACCTTAAGATTGCTCTCAGTATGACCATAAACCTTAAATGCTTTTAATTTTAAAATCGCACTCGTCTTAGATACAGTATATTGAACTGTGCAGTTGTGATTTTATCACTTTCCTAATTCCAGGTTTCTTTGTTTTAATGTTTACATTAATTAAGTCTCCAATTGGGTAATTGGGTTATGTTCTGAAATTGTGATGGTTGTATTGGAACCCTTAAAACTGTGTGGTATAGATAAGTGTTTGTTTTTCACAGATGTTTGACAGGATTTCCTCTGGTCAAGAACTCTCCTATTTAGAACAAAATTTCAGATTCTTAATTTGACCATGGAGAGCAACTGTTGTGATGCATCTGAAGACTGTGATATTGACTGTGCTGTTAATACCTTAAACTAGCTTGAACTGTGCTGTCTTCATTGTTGAGCCAAGGTCTTGCACTTGCATCTTTGTGGATGATTACACTTAATTTATAGCTCCCCCTTGTGGAATTGTACCTTTATTGCGGCGATAGTCTATCATAAACCCCTTATACTAGAAAACTTCTGAACATTTCGTTTTCAATGGCATCAAATCATTAATTGGTCAGCTGGATTTTGTATATTTGATATTGTTTCCATCAATGTTCCTTTGAAAGCCTGCCTGTCCACCTTTTCTGAGCAGGATTGCAATCATGAAAATCCACGCTTGCAAGAAACTATTTCTTCCTTGGATACAAACGTGGCCATCAAAATGAACTGCTGCCGCAGTTTACAGACATTTTGAATTCCGGATTGTATGAATACAAGCTTTATGCACTGTGTGTCACTTATAAATTAGTCCATTATAGCAGCTCTACATTTCGGCAATAGTATTGTCTAAAGAAAATGTGGATTTGGGGTGACTGGCATCAATCAGGATTAAGACCACTGGTCTGTGATAGGTATTGTCACTTCATTTTAAATTAAAGTTCATTTTGATTGGCTCTTGATTGCATGCAGAAACCATGCCTGTCACACACCCGATCCCTACTTTTAGCTTCTCATCAATAAACAAGGAAATTCAGCCTAATGAAATCTTGTGACCTGTACACCTGCTCTTTGCTCTTGAAGATGGTTTAGTATTTGTAGAACTGGATCTGTATTAGCAGTGCATTACGGTAATGACTTATTTTATTCGGATGGAAACAAGTCACTTGTGAGACGAACTGTCCCATGGTGAAAATTTTCCTTTTTTCTTTTTCCGTTCATCCTTGACCGCGAACTCCATTTCTGCCACTGTGTAATTACCAAGATCTTAAAAAGAGCCTAGCAGAAGCAGTTTCTAGAATTGCAGATGATGCAGAAAGAGTAGTGGGTTTGTAAAGGAGAACCATGTTGATCAGAGAATGAGGGAGTGACTGGAGGAGGGGGGTGTGGTTGTGGAAGGAAGGTTGTCACTGCCTGTGTGTTCTGTGGTGAGAGTTGCCTCTTCCTACAGGATGGTGTAAAAAGACAAATAGTTAAACTGCCTTGGGTGTAAAGAAAAAATGCCTACTTTACGTGATGAAGAACTTGGTGTCATGGGACCCCGAGTGTCAATTAAGCATGCATCAGTAAAGGATGTCTCTTGTTAACAGTGCCTTTTTAAACCAAAACATAATCTGGGGTGTTGGAAAGGGCTGTCCATGCTACTTAACACCAGTGTTACCTTAGTCAAAATCTGAGTGTCCTCAACATCAGGCCCAATTAAAAGCTCTTTCCAGTATATACTGTACCTACCTCTGTCATAATGCTCCCTTCTTTGAAATGATTTTTTTTTGTGTGCTCTATATTTTAATGTGGCATCTAGATTTATATCCAATTCCACTGTAAGGAAGTATATTTTTCCCATTATTTGGTATCGGACTTTTAAGCCGAATCTTGTCTTTGTAAGTGACATCAAAATAGAAAATATGACAAAACTGGGCATGTTGGGCCCCTGTAGTGAAGAAAAATTAATAAACTCTTTATTCTCCAGTCTCTTTGCTTTGTCTTGTGCTGTTCCAAACCTGCTTCAGTATGTTACCCCCACTGTTTCTGAAAAATGTAACCCTGTCAACCATAAAACTGGGTAAATCTAAGGGACGTTACATTTAATTCATTATAGTATTTACAATTGCCAAGTCTCTTGACACTTTCAAAATATATTGTACTTGTAAGACAATTTATGTATAAATCACAGCCACATTAGCAGTCACCTAGAAGTTCAAATCCTTAATAAATACAATAATCCCTTGGGACTGACTGCTGAGAAAGTGTTTACACCAAAAGTTTTAATCAAATGCAGGATGGAAGCTACAAATTGGACATATAAAATGCATTGCTTTCATACTGGGGGACACGACCTAATCGAGCACCCACTTGGGTGACGTGGTACCTATTCTGCACCAGCAGCCCCACTGCACATTAGATCAGGTAGACATGGAAAGTTGAATCCACTAAGCACAATTTAGAGATGACAATAGAATTTAGTACATTAGTTTAAACATCTACTTGCAAACAGTGGCAGGGGATGTTTTCATGACTCAATAGTCAGGACCTCAGTTTCAGGTCTAAAGGACAAGCTCTTCCAGTCTCAAACATCTGTGATAGCGATTGGTAGACAAGGAAACGGGATGTGAATCTGACCACCTACAGCACTATAAAATAAGGTTGGGTGTTCTTGTGGTCCTTGTTAAAATCCAGCAAAGTGGACCTAACAGCTCTGAGTTACAAAGGTGGAACAGGTCACCAAAAAACCTTTGAATCTGTACGGAGACCCGCGACGGCATGTTGGTGAGCACCGATCTATAAAAAGATCGGTGTGTGAGCTGGAGAGTTAAATTGAATGATGTGGCACAAACCTATGATTTGCCAGAGAAAGAATGAAAGACAAAGACCCAGGCCGTAGGAGCGAGCGTTCTTGGGTGTCAAACCATTGGCCGCAGAAGGTCAGGGGTCTGGGTAGAGAAGCTGGAAGATTACAACCTTGTTGATTTATCTACATTACAAAACCGTTCTTTAGCAGGAGTTTGGGTAAACAAGTTATGTAAGCCTCAGGAAGCTTGTGTTCTGTGGCTGTTGTGCGGAGGCAGTCATCTCTCCGAGAGACCCTGGGGGTGTGAGCCAGATCAACCACATCTACGGCAGCTGCGGCGAATATAGACGAAGATTTTCCACATCCCCATGAAGGAGTTACCTTCCTCATAGCTACTCTTGTCCTGCAGACTTCACTTGTCTAACTCGGCTCTCCTGTCTGTCCCCCAGGCCCGTCTACACTCTATGGGTGACGGGGCCTTCTCCTGCTCCGCCCCAGAGCTCTGGAACTCCATCCCTGAGGATATCAGAGTCACCTTGCTTGGGGGTCTTTTACATCTAGACTCAAGCCCTTCTTTTTAAAAAGGGTTTTGACTTAACTGGTGTCTGCCCCCTTGCTTTCCTACTGTATTCCATTCCCCCTTCCACTATCTCCTCTCCAACTGTATTGTTTTGTTGTTGGTTCTGTGAAGAACTTGGACGAGACACTTTTAAAAGTGTCTATATAAAAATAGTTTATTTGACTTGTATGCTCCAATCAGCGTGCTGCTGCTCTATGTAAGTGCTCTGTCAACGTCACTTTCTCCCCATGCTCGCGGATATTTCCTTCGGGCACTTTCCTGGAACTCAAAAAGAAAATCCCAACAAAGGTGAAATCCAGTGATGGCCTATTAGTTAAGCTTGCGGGAAACGTGTGGAGTAACAGCTATAGGCCACAGGACTGTGAAATGAGCACATTTAGCAAAAGTGGAAAATGCATCTGAGACCATTGCTGTATGTGCAGCTAGCTGTAAAGACTGTTTCTAGGTGTTTCCATGAAAAACAAAATTTCTATTTTAATAGCGAGACGTTCTCTAAACCTGCGTCGACGAACGTAGTTGCTAAGCGACCACTGTTTTTTTTCATTAAATAGCAAGTTTATTTCCAAACATTCTACCTAAAGTTATTATTAGACCTAGATTCGATTACTTTGTTGAGCTGGTGCTTTAACGCAGGGCGGTTTGCTTTCCAAGCAGCCAATGAACTGGTCAAAAATGGAGTTTTCTGAGTGGTACAAACTAATTTAACGATCAGACTTTATTACAATCACAAGAAAAGCCATAGAAATATAATTACAATTGTAGAGTGTACTGTAAGTACGTTGTACATTAACTGAAGAAAAGTGAAAATAACAAAACTCGTTTCTGGGACGATATTCAGACAGTGCTGTACCGTCTGAAAGTGGTGTTTGATGATCCGATAGCAGAGCCAACCTCGTGCTGGCGCTCAAATACTGTTGGTGGAACCCAGTCATTAAATACTGCGTTTTTTAATGCAATAAAATTGTTAAATCTGATTTAATGCTCAGCACAATTATTGGACGTACCGTATCGTGTTGCATTGTCTTGCAACAACCGAGTCTTTTAAATCGTTTATCACAAATTCGGTAGTTTTGTTCAAGGGTATGAACGTCCATATAACCCCTTAAATTTATGAGCAATGGATGACGTGATCGTACACAGTGTATGCCACATTAACGAAAAAAGACCAGTCTTTGCATTTATATTGCCTTTAGACAGGATATCTTTAATACGAAATCTCCCTTTTAACGCTCCAGACGGAGTAGCACAGTTTAGTAATACTCCGAGACATGTTTACCTGAAACAATATTAGCTAGTCCAAGATTAGTGGTAATAGAGGTCTGTGAAACCACTGCTTGTGATTGAGCAAAGAGCCATAAGACGGTTTTCCAGCAAAAGTATAGTCCCATTGCATTCATACGGTCAGCTAAAGTCTCAAGTTCGGTATTTTCCTGTAAAATACCTTACTGTCTTACATTTCAAGGTCAAAATAAAAAAAAGGCTTCGACGGTTGTAATAACTTGAAAAATACGACATTTCCAAAGTTTACATCACGTTTAGGGATAGCGCCCCTTGACATACACACACCACAGTACTGCAGACGTCATCGGTCTTGGTGCAGCTTTGTGCGCATGACGTTGCGCTTCTCTGTGTAGTTGGGTATTTCGTCACGGGTTGGTGTGGGAGTTGGGAGCTCTCTCGAGCTGTGTGTGTTACTGTTTAATTTTCTGGTTCGGTTCGATTTCCGTTTACTTTCAAAGCCAGCGCGCCGCCGGGACGACACGCGTTGAGTACTGGAGAAAAACAGAGAAATAAAACTCGCCGGGGCCGGACTTTCCTGCGGTTTTTTCTTTCCCCACCTCCTTGTAAATCCGCCGGTGCTCTGAGGAGAAATGAGCGTGGAGGCGTACGGGCCGAGCTCACAGACTCTAACCTTCCTGGACACGGAGGAAGCCGAGCTGCTGGGAGCCGATACCCAGGGCTCGGAGTTCGAGTTTACCGACTTCACGCTGCCCAGCCAGACCCAAACGCAAGGACAGACCCAGAGTCAGCTGGACAACCAGGTTCGTGTGCCCGTCACACCATTACAGCTCACATTTTCGCCGAGCAGACCTCCGGCGTGCTGTTACAAAGCTACCCAGCTGAGGTAAAAGTGAAGTAGGCCCGCGTTACTTGCAGAGTCCGGGGACGTTTCCTGACTTGAGTAGCCGGCGTCGAGGAGCCGTTCCGTAGCCGCGGGCTCTCGGTTCGCTCGCTGGAGGTCTCCTTTTTTTTCCGATGGGGGAGAAACCGGTGAGCTGCCACCTTCCCGTCGGAGCACGAAAAACGCGGATTTGGCGAGAGTTTGGGTCGGGCCCGTGGTCTTTACCTGCTTCGTGTCCTCGGCGAGTGAAATTCCTCTGCCCTAGGTACTCGTGTCAGCCGGCAGCATCGCTGAAACTATTCCTACCGCAGCCCGGCAACATTTTTACGAGGAAAATTGAGCCCGAACTGACGTAGCGCGCAGTAAATTCAAAGAAATGGACCTTCACGCCGAAAAGTTGCGTGTGTCGGGTCTGTCTTTTTTGTATCAGTGCCGTGTCGTCTAAGGGAGATCAACCCGGAAAAGAGGGGTTTTCGTCGGCGTGAAATCGCTCAGCATTTGTTGGGAGAAATCGCCACCTTGCCTTCACCCGGCCAGCGTGGCGGAGTTCTTAGTAGTTTTTTTTTTAAAGTTCGCCCTTTTTGCACCAAAAACGTGTCACTGAAACTTGCCGTGACGGGTTGATGTGAAACTGATAGTTTGGGAGGAGGTTACGCTAAGGGATAAAATGGTGCTGCACTTCACGGCCTGTCATTTCTACAGTTTTCTCCCACCCCCTGCAAGCGATTAATATCCGATATTAGCGGACAGGTTTGTGTCGTGTTGTGTGCGATCGCGCCCTTTTTATTTCTGTGAAGGTTGTGATGTCCCTTTTATTTCCTGTTGAATTGACCTGAAAGTGAATTCCCAGCAGCTATGACTGACAGAGTTAAGCTGTTTGAACTTGGGCTTTTCGGCAATTTGAATCTGGTTTGTTGGGTTGGCAGCCGTTAAAGAACACCAATTAATCGGGATAAAAAGCTGCTAAAAACTGAAGTATTTGCTGGGGCAGATTCGCCCGCTTTGTTATTAAACTTTCTTGTTTTCCTTGTTTCACATGGTGCCTTACTTGTCAGAATTGATCTTGGGAACAGATTTTATTAACTGATCTCAGATTGGGAGGACCGTACATCCTATATTTTTTTCTTCTAAAATTCCCTTTTTGCAACGTATTGAATGCAGTGTTTAATTTATTGCACTGTATTTTATTGATTGGACTAGTGATGTTAAGGGGATTGGGAGTGAACTTGTAATATATTTATAAAATGTGAGAAAACAGTACTAAAGGAGTATTTTACTTTATGTATGATTTCTGGTTAGGTTAGGGTTGGTCACCTGAAAGCCTTATAATTCTTTTTCATTTCGTAGTCTGTACTGCTTTTCCCAAAGTGTCGTCTTTATTGTCCATTTTTAAAGTCAGATTGCAAGAAACGCTTTTCTCCAACTTGTATGTCTTATAGGTGAATGGCCCTGATGGAGTTTTGCAGAATGGAGCTGTGGATGATGCTGTAGCAAAAACCAGCCAGCTGCTTGCTGAACTGAACTTTGAGGAAGATGAAGAGGACACCTATTACACCAAGGACCTCCCAGCCCACGCCTGCAGGTACAGGACACCAGGGGGATTTGGACTGGGCATGCTTTGCGGTTAATGCCTACTGGTGTCTGTGCAGTTGTTTGTTTTTTATTTGAATATCTTCGTTTCATTATTTTTGAAAAATGTTAAATATGCATGTTTTCTAAAATACTGTTTCTTTTGACTTCTTGTTGGGGATGGTGGTTATGTTGGGTGATTGTGTTGAATTGTAATGCAACACTTAATTCCCCTCGGGGATGAGAGAGTTTGATAGCCTCTAGTACCGTTTTTCTTCAATACCTCCTACTGCTATGTTTGTTTTGTTGCTACTTGGTGTGTTTTGACAGCGCATGTTGCAGTAGGTGAGAAAACAAAATGTGCTTATCTTGTTAATTTCTATTTTCAAGCTACTGTGGAATTCATGATCCAGCATGTGTGGTCTACTGCAACACCAGTAAGAAATGGTTCTGTAATGGACGTGGGAATACCTCTGGCAGGTGTGTGCAACAGTTAGAAATGAAGTAGTACATAAAAACAGCATTATTCCTGTTTCAGATTCCCTTTTCATGTTACATTTTAACCTAGTAATATTTTAATGTGAAGGATAAAGTTGGACTATTGTTGTAAATTGCTGAAGAAAGTTTTATTCTTCTGATATAACACAATATACATGTTTTATGGTAGCTGAAATGAAGATGTTCATTTAATTGTGTATAACAGCTGATTCTTGTAGATTTTTTTACTCAAAAATACTCATCAATTATGGTGAGAACAGGATTATAAGAAGATTAAATGTAACAGTGTTCAATTACACTACCAAGTCAGATTCTCTTCTTTTTGAAAGAAAGATATTAAGCTTGCATTTTGAATCTCTTATTCTATTGGTTTGCGTAGCAGTTTCCTGAAGTACAGTTGTTTCAGTAACAGCTGCTGTGCATCTTTTCTTTTTCAGCCACATTGTGAACCACCTTGTCAGGGCGAAATGTAAAGAAGTGACTCTCCATAAGGATGGTCCTCTTGGGGAGACGGTCTTGGAGTGCTACAACTGCGGCTGTCGCAATGTCTTCCTGCTGGGCTTCATCCCTGCCAAGGCTGATTCGGTGGTTGTGCTTTTATGCAGGTAAACAATTTAAAATAACACCTGATCATTGGAAAAAATAAACCACAGTATCTTTAAGAGCTTGATTGTGCGCATAGTGTTTTGACTAGTGTGCAGGCATATTAGGTGCAGTGCATTTGGAGTTTGTTGTAGCACCAGGAAGAGAGAAATATTTCTGTTTTTTAAAGTTTTTGTCCACCTTTTATAATAATTAATTATAATTAATTTATAATATTGCTTACACTTATATAGCGCTTTTCTGGACACTCCACTCAAAGCGCTTTACAGGTAATGGGGATCCCCTCCACCACCACCAATGTGCAGCATCCACCTGGATGATGAATATAATACATGTATTACAATAAACTGCACTACTTGTTATGGCTGTGATTCATCATTCCACGTTTGTGAGTGTAATTGTCATAGAACTGCTATGACAAAAGTTTATACTTTTGCTGGTGTATTTGTAATGTTTCCACTCATTCTGGAGATCTATGAGAGCAGCCCTTGTACAAAGGCAATAGGAAGCACTCCACACTAGAAAATTTTGGTTTTGTGTATCACCATCTTATTTTTCAGGATTGTAATGAAGTTTAGTGATCTTAACAAAGCAAACTTTAATATTAGTGTAATTAAACAAAGTTTTTTACCTGGTAATTCTTCACACTCTTCACTTACCTTCTGCTTTATTTATTTTAAATATTTACTCTTTGGTATAAATATTTACTTTATCAGCATATTTTAGTCTTTGTAAGCACCCATTTTTGTTATACTAAGTGTGGAAACCAAAAAAGACTGATTGCTTCCCACAGAAAAATTGGAAACATTCACATTTACACTTTCACAGTACTTCAGAACAATAAATATAGTGCTTTGTAACAGTTTTGGTTTATGCTTGTATAGTGTGGAATCCCTCACCAAACACTTAAGTAAATTTTTTATTAGACATTTAAAAGTAATAGTTTTCTTCTGTTGTGTTTTGTCTTATGCAGGCAGCCCTGTGCCAGTCAGAGCAGCCTGAAGGATATTAACTGGGACAGCTCTCAGTGGCAGCCTCTTATCCAGGACCGCTGTTTCTTGTCCTGGCTGGTGAAGATTCCTTCTGAGCAGGAACAGCTGAGAGCCAGGCAGATCACCGCTCAGCAAATCAACAAACTGGAGGAGCTCTGGAAGGTGACGGCAGAATAAAATGCTCTTTAGCGTACAAGCAGTCTGCCTGAGACCTGATTTTAATGTACTGCTACTGGGCTTGATGATTAAACCACAAATCCCCTTTACCCTTCTTAATGAACATATTTTCCATTAAGAGCAACTGAATACTCTCTGAATGCTATGATCTCATTCTTCAGGTCTTTTTATTAAATAGTAATTTTTTTAATAGGAATATTTTCTTTTTCGGTCTCTTAGTGAACTTAGTTTTTTGTGATCTTTCCTTTCCATGGACCTAAATATGGTTTAAATTAACTGGGTTACTTAGAATATTATTCAACATTTTGTTTGCTTTCAGAATTTTTTTCAAAATTATACGATCCCAGATTTCCTTGGACGTAATGGTTCTTATCTTAGTAGCTGCTTTAAAAATGTTTCCCATTTGGTTAAATTAAACATTTTTGTGGTCAATGATAGTCATTGAAACTACAGTATTTTAACTATTGATAATATTAATTATACAGCACACAGGATTTTATTGATAGATTTTTGAGATTTATAGAAGTTATTGTGGATCTGGTATTTTATCTCCAGCACTGTGTCTTGACTTGTTTTCTTAATGGTGATCTACTTAATTTTATCCAGGAAAACCCTACAGCCACTTTAGAGGACCTGGAGAAACCTGGTGTTGATGAAGAGCCTCAGCATGTCCTGCTGCGCTATGAGGATGCATATCAATACCAGAACATTTTCGGCCCTCTTGTCAAGCTGGAAGCAGACTATGACAAGAAACTGAAAGAGTCCCAGGTGGGAGATAAGTCGCCTTTCTTAGTAGCTGATGTGTTACGTGTTGGCGTTATCTTCTTTTGGTTATGGTAATATAATCAAAGCAATGATTTCAAAGAAGAATAATGACTAATTTATACTTGTGATTTTTCTTTAACAGACCCAAGATAATATTACAGTCAGGTGGGACTTGGGCCTGAATAAAAAGCGGATTGCATATTTCACCCTTCCCAAGACTGATTCAGGTGGTATTATCATTTACTTCTGAGTAAAAAAAAAAAGTTTGTCATCCCATTTATATAAAAATGAGGCATTAACACATCCACATGCATGAAGGTCTTGTTTGTGCATAGTTCTTTACATTTATTTTTTCCTTTTTCCATTTTTTGCATGTTTTCAATAAACAGTAGTAGACTGTTCTTGACTGCTGCTGCCCATTAGTAAATGACTGCTATTTTATTTAGACATGCGTCTGATGCAAGGCGATGAGATTTGTCTGAGATACAAAGGCGACCTGGCTCCCCTCTGGAAAGGGATTGGACATGTCATCAAAGTCCCAGACAGTATCCTTTACACGTTTCACACCGAGCTGGAATTGTTAGAGTTGAACGATAGTATTTCAAAGCAATGCATTTCTAATGTCTGTGTTCCTTAATAAGCCAATAAAAGATTATGGAGATGAAATTGCAATTGAGCTGAGAAGCAGTGTTGGTGCTCCTGTTGAAGTTCCGCATAACTTCCAGGTTGACTTTGTTTGGAAATCAACCTCCTTTGACAGGTAAAGTTGTTGGTGAATGTTCAAGCGACTGTCCAGTCAATAACTACAGCTGTTATTTTTTAAAAAAGGTACTCATGTTTAGTATTGTGTCCACACCACAGATTCTATCTACAATGCAAAATGTTTTTGAACTGTTAAATTTCACTTTACTGAGTTATTGGTATAAAGAACATTTCTCTTTTTGATGTTCGCAATTAGCAAAAACATTTCTAACTTTTATGTGTGGGGATTGTAAGGCAAGCTAAAAAACTTGAATAGAAAGTATTTTTAATAGAATCAAATGCAACTGTTGTGCAGAAAAATTAAGCATGATTTCCTTTGTTTTGTGGTTATATAGGATGCAGAGTGCCCTGAAAACCTTTGCTGTGGATGAGACATCGGTATCTGGCTACATTTACCACAAACTGCTGGGGCATGAAGTGGAGGATGTCATCATCAAGTGTCAGCTGCCAAAACGCTTCACTGCACAGGGGCTGCCTGACCTGAACCACTCGCAGGTGATTAAATTTAATTGGTTTTGCCAAAAAAACAAGCCCTGCTTTTCATCCATCAGATACAGTTATGCAGTAAATATTTTGAGTATTGATGAAGGTTTTTCTTGTTTTGACAAGGTTTATGCCGTAAAGACGGTACTGCAGCGACCACTCAGCCTCATCCAAGGGCCCCCAGGAACAGGAAAAACTGTAACCTCTGCTACCATTGTGTACCATCTCGCCAGACAGGGGAATGGGTATGTATAGGCTTTAGTAGATATTTCACATTAACAGACACAGAACTGGAAATAATTGGCGTACACTGTGTTTTCAGACCTGTGTTGGTGTGTGCACCAAGTAACATAGCTGTGGATCAGCTGACGGAGAAGATTCACCAGACTGGACTTAAAGTTGTGAGGCTTTGTGCCAAAAGCCGAGAAGCTATTGATTCTCCAGTATCCTTTTTAGCTTTGCATAATCAGATCCGCAACATGGATAGGTAAGATTTCCAAAAGTATTTTTTTCCCTTAAAATTTAACTTTTTACTATGACCAAAGGTTTTTAAAAAGAGAAATATGAACAATTTGAAAGTAGTGTACAGAACCTGCTACCTGATTTATTTTATGAACGTTTAGGAGAGATGGTCATAATCAAGTTCACTGTCAGCTCTGCTAGTCTAGCTTGCAATCCCCTGTAATATCTCTTCCTAAAAGCTGTAAAGAAAGTAATGTACCTAGATCATTGCAGCTACCTCTTGGTGAACTCCATTCCAAAGTCCATTCAGGTTATCAGAGCATTATATGGTCTCTTCACTGCTAACCTGCTTTCTTTTATGCAGTATGCCAGAGCTTCAGAAACTACAACAGCTAAAGGATGAAACTGGAGAGCTGTCATCTGCTGATGAGAAGCGCTATAGAGCTCTGAAGCGCACAGCTGAAAGGGAATTGCTGATGGTAGGACCCTTTCTCAGCTGGTATTTTTTCTCTTCTATTCTGGCTCAAGAAACCTCAAATTATATTTGCCTTTCAGAATGCAGATGTGATCTGCTGCACTTGTGTCGGTGCCGGAGACCCACGTTTGGCCAAAATGCAGTTCCGCTCCATCCTGATTGATGAGAGTACCCAAGCCACTGAGCCTGAGTGTATGGTGCCTGTAGTGTTGGGTGCGAAACAGGTAAATTAATGACACAATTGTCATTGTGTACTGTTGTATTTAACATTTTATCATCTGAGATTGGTATCTCATGTAAATTGTTACATAGGCACTAAAAACGTACTCAGGAATAGGAATCTTGAAAGGAGGTTTCTTCTTTTCTAGCTGATACTTGTTGGTGACCACTGCCAGCTGGGCCCTGTTGTGATGTGCAAGAAAGCAGCCAAGGCGGGCCTGTCTCAATCCTTGTTTGAGCGCCTGGTAGTTCTGGGAATCCGTCCTATTCGCCTGCAAGTGCAGTACCGCATGCACCCTGCCCTCAGCGCCTTCCCATCCAACATCTTCTATGAGGGCTCTCTTCAGAATGGAGTCACAGCAGGTGAAACTCCACAATGTGATTGCAAAAAAAAAAAAGACAAAAATATGGAATAAGTAAACGGAGCTGTCAAGCAAAAAATATAACTAAACAACTGATGTAATTATCTTGCAGCTGACCGTATTAAGAAGGGCTTTGATTTCCAGTGGCCACAGCCGGACAAGCCCATGTTCTTCTATGTGACTCAAGGACAGGAAGAAATTGCAAGTTCAGGAACCTCTTATTTGAACAGGTAATATAAAAGACTGTGATGGCCAAGAACATCAGAAACGTTTGTAGAAAAATATAGCTTAGTTTTATAGTTATAGTATAAAGTTTTCTATATACAATCAAGTAGAGGTTAATTCTGCATTTAAAAGAATATATGCATATCAGTCATGGAGCTTTCATCATTTGTTGCTGAGTGAGTGAGATTGGGCAGAAGAAAAAGTATGAGGTGAAAAGGGGGTGTTTAGAGATTAATTTGAGAGCTGCACAACCCTTATATTTGTCTGTGACCTTTAACAGAGACTCTATACCAGAAATAGTACAAGAATCAAAATTGTCCTTACATTACATTGTCTGTACATTTTTCCTAGCATCCCATGATAGACTTATCTTTTTATAAACCTCTCCATTCACTTACAGACTGCTTCCTTTCACACTTGCTGGAGTTTTTCTCCCAGATTTCCATCTTTGTTGTCCCCTTTTCACCTCTCAATGGCACCCTTTTGCCCCATACTTATGCTCTCTCCCTTTCTTCCCTGTGCACTGCCAAAGATGTTTTGCAGTCCAAACATTTTTTTCAGCATGTAAATGAGCTCTGCATGTTGCTTTTGAGCTCACATTCTAATGTAGCTCCCCACTCATAACATCTAAGTTTTATATAATTATGCATTTTCAATGCTATTGTGTTAGTCTCTTATTAAATTGAATTAATGGTGATTCCCCCATGGTGTTTTTGTTTTACTTTGAAATGTTAAACACTTTTTATTGCAGAACTGAAGCTGCCAATGTGGAGAAGATCACCACAAAGCTATTGAAAGCAGGAGCCAAACCTGACCAGATAGGCATTATTACACCTTATGAGGGACAGCGCTCCTACCTGGTGCAGTACATGCAGTTCAGCGGCTCTCTGCACACAAAACTTTATCAGGTACAGAAAAAAAGTGTTTTAATGTTTCAAATGTTCTTGTAAATGCTTGTCAGAATCAGGAATCAAGTAGAAATTCAAAAAGGCAATAAAATGCAGGAAAGATCTGTGGTTTCACAATATCACAGGAGATTCTTTCTGTTGTTCCCTTTCAGGAGGTTGAGATTGCCAGTGTGGATGCTTTCCAAGGACGTGAAAAAGACTTCATCATTCTGTCTTGTGTCAGAGCCAATGAACATCAGGGAATTGGGTTTTTGAATGATCCTCGACGTCTCAATGTTGCTCTTACAAGGGCCAGGTAAGAAGTCTTATTTTCCTTGTAGAACTGTATAGAGTAAATGAGGATATGCTAACTCATTGGCTTCGTTAGATGACAAGATTCATTTTGTCCATGAATGATTGGTGTAGCAATTGCAAATAAAATTGTGCTTCTCCAGTAAACCTTTTTTTTCCTCTATCTGTATTCACAGGTATGGCGTGATTATTGTAGGAAACCCCAAGGCTTTGTCTAAGCAGCCCCTCTGGAATCACCTTCTCAACTACTATAAGGAGCAGAAGGTTTTGGTGGAGGGACCATTGAACAACCTGCGAGAGAGCCTTATGCAGTTCAGCAAGCCTCGCAAGCTTGTCAACACCATCAATCCTGTGAGTAATCATATGGTGGGTTGTTCTGCTGTACTTTCACCATTAGGAAGTTTTTTATGATCCTGTGAGAAACCATTGATCATCTCAGAACATCACAAAGGCCCTAAATAATAAATCCTTTAGGGTCATATGATTTTATTTCTTTATAGTGCCATATACAGACTTGCAACAGACCCCATTCTTGCAGAAAGAAAAAACTAGAGTAGCAGTATCTAACATCTCAGTGAAATACCTGCAAACCCCACACAGACAGGCACAGCCCGGGTCAGAGTCATGATTTTCAGAGTCAGCTGAGTAATCCGACTTGTACCCCACTGGCATCGTTTGCTCCAGTGTTGGAACTCATCATTGACTAGTAGCAGGAACCAGGATTGAGCTTACAGTTTCTCATTTATAGTGCTCAACATGATCAAAATCTTCAATGGGTGAGGCACTAGGGAGCCCAGTGTTGTTCTCATGTGAATTCTCATTGTAGGGGGCGCGCTTCATGAGCACTGCAATGTATGACGCCCGTGAAGCCCTCATCCCCGGATCAGTGTATGATAGAAGTAACACAGGTAAGAATCCTCTGAGGGAGCTACATCGAACTTCTGCTTATTGCACTTTCAGATTATGGGTGCAGATTTCATTAATAAATGTTTATCTTGTTCCATCCAAAATACTATAAAAATATATTTACAGCTACTTTATTATATATCTGTGAAGTGCAGTTTTACAAACTGTATACTAAAGTGTGACCCTTCAGCTAGTTAGACTAGTTTTTAGACACTAGGAACTAAATTTGCCCCTCGTCTGAGTAACTCTGCATTATCACTGGTGACTTATGATTTGTTATAAATTTAGTTATAGGTTTTAGTTAAGTATTCATGCTATACAGATAGTTAATCCAAAACGGTAGATATCAAAACAGAATTATTTTTAACAGTATAATAAATGTAAATAATGTAATAGTTTTTATGATCATCCCTTAATCAGTTATATGGTAGTGTGTGTGTATATAAATATATGTTTTGAAAGGTAGGTGTAAGGCATAGATGAGAGCAGCTTTTTAATCAGTTAATTAGTTCAGATAGAAACCATGAAGGCAGTATTTTTGCAATCATAATGATTTCTCTTGCATTTATCTTTTCAAAGCTTGTATTTTTCCTCTTTTCAGTCACCTTTGAATCCATAGGGGATCATTTCAGATATAATAGTTTGCACATGTTAAGCAAAGTCATGTGTAATATGGTGATTCATTCCTTTGGGAGCTGTCAGGAAATTCTGTGTCATTAACAAATCCTTAGCCAGCTGGTTGGCAAGCTATCGTTTCTAAACTTTATAAATGTTTCTGCCAAACATGTCTAAAATATCTGGGAATCAAAGGAGTTAGATGTTGTTAAATTCAAAGTTAGGATGAAGAAAAAAACTGAAAGCTTTGTTTCATGCAATGGTCTGCTTTTCTTTGACTGCAGGGCGTCCGTCAAACATGTACTTTCAAACACATGATCAGATTGGAATGATTGGTGCTGGGCCCAGCCATGTTGCTGCCATGAACATTCCCATCCCCTTCAACCTGGTGATGCCACCGATGCCTCCCCCTGGGTATTTAGGGCAGGCTAATGGCCCGGCAGTAGGTATGTACAGTGTCTTTCTATGACAAGTATTGTGGCGAAAATAGAATGCATTTGTTTATTTTGTTGTGTAAGCACCGAATCACTCCATTAGTGATAGTTGATTTACCACTGGTTTGGAGGTGATTCAAAATAAAGCCTGTGAAAGTAGAGAAAACCTCGAAAAACAGCCAGTGTGCCCTGGCTCTCAAGTGTACAGTGTCTTTATGTTGGAGCATACCTCAGATGGACTCATCAGCTGTGGAGCACAGTCCTCTTGAGAAGTTTTGTCTATACAAAATCTTAAATCCTGATCAAAGTGTGGAGCAGATAGACACTCATTCCCAGACCATTGTTCGGTATGTTTCCTACTGAATTCCACTTGTAGCTATGAGTGGCGGACTAACTGCAGGGTGATAGATCAGCCAAGTCCAGGGTGGGCAATCCCAATGTGTCAGTATTCCAGCTAAGATGAAGTGTTTTTTCTAGGGCTCAGAAAATCAGTGAACAAAGTACATGGTTGTTTTGGCTGTACAAGAGAAATGGGACAATACTGAAGGCAGCCTTGTTTTTTGTTTTTGTTTGGTGCAACACGTGTTGCATTGCAAACTTTGTTGCTTCCTTTGGTGGTCACATGCTCAACTAAACCATGACCTTCTCGGAAGACACCCTGTTGATAAGTGTTAATAAACGTAATGAATTTCTATGTGTTCAGTCAAATGGCGGTGCACCTGCAACACTAGTCATTTAGTGGTACTTTTATGAGTGTTGCAGTGGGGTATTAAAAGAAAGTGAAGTTGTGAAGACCTGCTGTACTTTCTGCATGTTGTAGACATGTTTTTTCAGTTTAATCCTTTATATATCAGGTAGAGGAGCCCCAAAAGGTAAACCAGGCCGTGGAGGACGCCAGAGGAATCGTGGGATGGGCAATCAGGGAAACAACCAATCTAATCTGCCCAACAGCCAGGCCAGTCAAGATGTGGTCTCCCAGCCCTTTTCACAGGGCCCCCTAACTCAGGGCTACATCTCCATGAGCCAGCCTTCTCAAATGAGCCAGCCAGGGCTTTCCCAACCTGAATTGTCCCAGGTAAACCAGCAACAAAAAAACAACACTCACTCCTTTATTCAGCTATATTGTATAAAGTAATTAAGATCTGTATCTTTCTCTATTTTTCAGGACAGTTATTTGGGTGATGAATTCAAATCCCAGATTGATATGGCTCTGTCGCAGGACTCGACTTACCAGGGTGAACGTGCATACCAACATGGTGGAGTGACTGGACTGTCACAGTACTAGAGTGTAAGACTTTTAAAAAAAATTAATCTTGTAGCCAGGATGCTTCAGCTTATTTTAATAACGAGAGGCTCAGCCCATGCTTTACAGTAATATCATCAGTATCACAACCAGTGGGATGAAGTTGACGCCTTTCTTCTGACTAAATTTGTCAGAAAGGATTTCTGCAAATTTCAATTAACTTCTCTTCTACAGAAGGTTTACTGCTGCTACATATTACATGGAAATTTAAGTAAATAAGTAACATAAATTTAATGCAAACTGACAGTGTGATGTTTATCTTCATTGTTTACAAAGGAAGTGTATGCGTATAATCATGTTACACAACCTTACGAAATTCTCTTCTCCAGGTTGTGGGAAGAGGAGCTAGGCTTTGGATGAGCTTAGTTCGTCAGCATTTTAATCTGGGTAATAAAAAAAACAAAAAACGGATACCTGTTTTCCACTGCTACAACTGAAGCACCACTGTGTGAAAGCAACAGGAGAGAGAAAACAACCAATCACGAGAGAAAGGAGAGACGGAGACAGACGGACAGAGGGAGAGAGAGACCACTGCTAGCACACTGAGACAGACGGAAAGGAGAAGATGTGATGTATGTGGTAGCGCTGTTGCGGAAGACGAGGCCCCGGTCTCACATCGCAAACTACGTTCCTCCCTGCGCAAGAAGCCCCCAATCCCTCCCCCCCTCCCTCCCCCCAGGAATGGCAGGTTGACTGAGGGCCTTGCTCTTCTGGCAGAGAGAAAGCAAGGAGAAGGCCTCAAGCAACTTCGAAGCTCATTCCGTTGTCTCCATTACTCCATGGAGAGGGGGTTATCACTTAAAGCAGTCAAAAGAAAATTTTTACCTCAGAGTTGATCTGTTCAAACTCAACATAGCTCTTAGTTTGGTGACTTTCGTGCCGACTGAGATGGTAGCAACACTTAAGCGGACAAAACATCTCATTACAACAAACAACCAAAGCAGTAAAGGAAAAAATCCTCTGGTTCAACTTTGAGTTGCAAAGTTTTCTGTTTTAAGTCTGATAAGAAGTTGTGAATTGAAATGCCTTTGAATCCATTAGAATTTCACTGGCTTTCTAAACAGGTCTTTCATGAGGTGGCTTTCTAAAGGTTGAGGAGAATTGCACTGGGTTCATTGAGAAGTTTGTCTCCTTAAGATCTGAGTGGTGGACCTGAAAGATCTGTAGTCGTGAGACAATATTCTGAAGTTACTTTCTTCTTGTAGAAAAACCAGCATTGGAGAGTACTAACTTGGTGTCATTTGAAGTTGCAGCAATGGCTTATTGATCTTCTTTAATGAAGGAAAGCAGTGAATGACAGTGAAATGTGGCCCGTGTGCTACGAAAGGAGGAGGGTTTTCAATGTTTTAAATGCTCTGTATGCTTAAATCGGCTATTGTCCGACACTTGGAGAAGAGGTGTACTGAAACCAGTTGCCTTCGGCTGTAAGAGTTGCCGACTTCAAGCAACTCCTTAGAAACAGACATAAGGAATAGAGAGGAATGCTGTATATGCTGGAGTCATACAGCTTTAAGTTAAAACAGATATATGGATAACAAATGGGAAAGACAAAAGAGTAAAAAGGAAGGTGGCTGAATGGATTTAAAGTTCAGCAAGGCTATTTTTATTTTTTAACAAACATGATGCTTTAGATTTGTGCACATCTTTCATCATGTTAGAACTTTTTAGAGGAGGTAAGGTTGAAAACAATTAACCAATGTCATGAAGAATCCTAAGAAAAGTCTCTTAATACTGCAAGAGCACTTGATCTCAAGAGCTCAGAAAGCATACAAGAAGTGCCATCAGCCATTTGACCCATTCGTAATTACATATGCGCTATAGTGTTGTTTTCTTTAATTGAGTCAGGTTTTATTGAAATTACAGATGGTTCCTTAGAAGTTGCTTTAACCTCCTGTATGTTTTTTTTGGCTTTGGAACTAATTTATGTTAACAGATCTCCATGGTATTGTCTCATACCCATGGATATGAAATTTGAACCTACCTGTTGACTTCTTTTCTGGCAAGGTTGAAATGTCTTGCTAAAACCTGTGGACTACATTATTAGAAATCAACATAGTATCATGAAGAGAACAAAAGCTCAAACTGTTTTAATTAAATCTCTATATCAGTCTGTATGTTATCAGTTCAATTGTAGTTATACAATTTACCCTTTTAGAATAAGACAAATTTCCCACCGAGGAAGGGAGGAACAATCAATCAGTGCCTATAACTGTACTTGGACTGTTACTTTCAGGATAATTTGAAAGTGAGTGTGGTAGAAAAACTAAAGTACCACAGCCTCTCGCCAATGAAGTGTCCACATTTTTGAATGTAGGTTAAATGTAACTGCACCAGCTGATTCAACTGTGGTATAAACTCCAGCTGAACATGCAGCCTGTTTTTTAAACTAAGCAATACCAGATTAAACAGAAAAGTTGCCATTTGATTTCTTTTTTGCTTCACTGGTTATCAATCTTTGAAGGACAGACAGATATGGGCCACCTTCCTTCTGTCAGAGGAGTTGCCATGATATAAAACACGGACTGGCCGAAGGGCTTTTCTTTCAGTTTTTTAATTTTGTTTTTGGCTTTTTGGTAGTTTGTAGGCTGCAGTTTGCCTCTTTTGTAGATGTCTCCAGTAGATTTCTGTGGCTTACACCCTTGTGAACTGTGATCAAGTAATGTAACCCCCCTCGCCTTTTCACTGGTTGGAATGATTGCTTCTTGTTTGTGCTTTTATTTTTCTTTGTAGCAGCAAGTGATCCATATTTTATCTTCCATGGAAATCGATGCATTCCTTGCATTCGATTAAAGTGGGAAACATTTTTCCCTTATTTTTGTCTACGTTGTTTTAAAGCTGTCTTTAATAAACGATCATAAGTAGCTTTTGTAGTATGGGATAATTATTCCTGACTATCTGAAGAATGGTTTCCATTGTTTACTTTGTTGACTATCCCAAGTTTTATGGTACTTGTTTTGGCAGTATACAAGAGTACAGCCACAGCATCTGCCAAACAAGTCTTGCGTCCATGAAATTAACAGCTTTAATGTAGTATAGACGCACTCAGTTGACAGTTGCTAGTGGATCTTGTTAATTCATTACCCACTGAATTTTATCTTTCTAGGAATGGAGCGGAGCGCTCTGGTTTAGTTATGTTCAGAGATGACAATCATAATGTCTGCTTCATAATATAAGCCTGTTCTGTAAGAGTCCTATAAATAGGAAAGTAGAAATGCCACAGCATGTTAATTTTAGAACTGTACAATGTTCAGTAGTACTGCAGGTTTTTTTTTTTTTACCCCTGCCCAGCCTATAGTGTGATCTGTGAGGCAGGACCCCTTGTAGACAAAAAATAATATCCAATAACTAAAATTGTCTAAAAAAAAAAAACAATTTTCAAGTCTAAAACAGTAAATCCATGCCTTTACTGCTCTTGTCACTCATTTCAAATAAGAAATTATAGTGATTGGTAGCACTTCATTATGCTTTGCACCTTTATTTTACCATGAAGGCACAGGTGGTGGGATTAGGTGGAACAAGTGCTAAATAGGCCTTAATGTTTTCTTTTCTTGGGACCAGAGAAGGAAATTCTGCTTTGATCTCATGAAATAGTTATTTACGTTTATTTCCAAAGATACCTAGTGTGACGTTGGGAATCCATCACCAGGATAAATGGCACTCTGATAATGAAAGGTGTTGGGAGTCTTGTGGTTCAAGTCTGGCGTTATGAGGGACTGACAGTAATGTGGCAGGGAATGACATTGCTTACCTGCTCAATCTATACACATGGCTCCAACTGTGTGTGTCATCAAACTACAGAAAAGCAGCCTCATTTGAGAAGAGCAGAGTAGCACAGTAGTTGATGTTTGGAATGGCGACATGAGATATTCGGCTTTTTATGTTTTGTTCTTTCTTTGGCAGTGACCAATTTGTTGAAATCGTGTAATGTGTTTTTTTGGTGGGGCAGGGAGGTGAACTGAATGCAGCAGAAATGGGGAACTTTTGTGCTTTCATTGCTGTGGGAATTGTTTGCCTTCACTGTTTTTTTTTTTCTCTTGATCAGAAAGAAAATCCACCTGTAACACCTTGATCTCATTTCTGTAAATTGATTGAAACTTCAAAAAATAAAAAAGGTTGCTTCTTTCTTTTGTTCAGAAGATGTTTACGGAACACCCTTGTATTTTGTTTCAAAGTAGTTGAAAACGAAGCTTGTGTTCCCTCGTGAAAAGCAGCTATCATTCCATTCCATATTTCTGTCAGTTTCATTAGTCTTTTTTAAATGATTCCAAGCTAGGGAGACTCTTTGACAAACTGTACCTGCTCTTTATTTTTACTAACTGTATACAACAAGCCTGTAGTAAACATGATTTGCTTTCTTTGACAAAAGGCTTCTTCTGATTTATAACTTTTGTTCTCAAGAACAGTTAAGTATACAGCAGGTGTTATTTAGGGTTAAAGTTAGGACCAAGTGGAGTTACTTCTCGAAACAGTTCACATTTTTATAGCAACCTATGAGTGTGATACAAGAAACTTAACATCTCATTTTAAAACCCTGATCTTCAAAAGTTTATTTTTACAAGATCATAAAGACTTATGCAGTATAAATATTATTAATTTGGGTAGAGGACTATTATATTATCTTAATCAAAGCTTTAAGGCAAAACTGGTTCCAGGGACTGTCGATTGTTTTGTGTGCACAATGACATGTCTGCATGTGTTAATTCAAGAAAACTGATTCACACATTCAATTACCCACACTATCTTCATGTCTGGCATGAAATTTCATAGTGTCCATACATGCACTCCTTGAGGTCTGGAGGTGCTACTGCTTTTGAACGGAGGTCTGTGTACAAAGCTATTCTAGTAAAAAAACATCAGGTATGTTTTGTTGCTTGCTTCTGTTGGTGTTTTTTCTTCTTCAGCATGTCTTGCTTCTTCTGGATTTTGGCCTTGAACAACTTCTTGTCTTTCCTGATCTTCTCCAGTTCAGCTTTTCTTTTTGCTTCCAGATCAGGGTCCTGCAACAAGCAAATGATAAAATTTACCATTTTTATTTAAAAAGTCTACAGGATTTATAAATACCTACCACTTCTTTAGACAGATCAGTAAACATTTAAGTCTTTTATCAAGCACAAGCTTTGAAAAGTAAAAGCCATCACTAAAGTTCTCAACAGTAACATGAACAGAATTGCACAACAGGCTATCATGCAAGAGTTCAGCTTCTTTTTGAACTTTTTTAAAGCGGAACACATTGAGATGTTGTATAAAATTGGTTTCATACGCACCTTTCCTTCCAAAATCAGCTGTTTCCTTTTGTTTATTTCCTTCTTCTCATCAAAATCTGTTGACTCCAGTTTCTGTGAAAGATGGAAAAAAAGTGCTCATTATGCTAATGTGGGATTATTTTCAACAAATTTCACAGGAAAAAAGGACAAATTCAAACACATGGGCACAGAACACAAATCTTCTATGCAACGCATTGGTGATAAATATTTTTTCTTGAAAACAAACTGAAGCAAAAACTTACAATTTCACATTCCCTTCTTGTGACGTTAACCTGGGTAAGGATATTCAATACTTCACTCTCCTTCACAGAAAATTCCTTCAGCTTGGTTTCTAAAGAGAAGAAAACACCATAACTATGCAATCACTTCAAAGTGGTGTCAATACAAAATCGCCATGCAAATAAGTAAAAGTGGGATTCAGTTCAATCAAAAAACTGATTTAAAAAAGCCTTCATAAAAAAAAGCTAGTTTCATGTTCTTTCAAACTTTTTATTCTTTAATTACTACATCACAAGACTTAGCTTAAAAATGAAGCATCCTGTGATCTCTACAAACCACAACACGGACTTCATCAGCTTATAAGAATGCGGGACTGGAAACGTACGGATTTGCTCCTCGATGGCGTGGACGAGGTGAATGTCGTACTGTGTGACCAGTGTAATGGCAACACCGTTCCTGCCTGCGGGAAGAAAGGAACAGCATTGGCTACAGCTGGGTTTTTCAGAAGTACGCTGATGGCGCCCCCAGCACGTTGACATGACTTGCCTGCGCGGGCCGTCCGCCCAACTCGGTGGATGTAAGTCTTAGGAAGGCCCGGTGTGTTATGATTGATGACCACTTGGACGGTAGGGATGTCCAGACCCCTAGCAATATCAGAATGAAAATTATTTCCAAAATATTAGACCTGTTAAAAGCAGTATGAGTATTACAGATATCACAACAGGTATTATGTTCATGCTGATAGAGGTGAGTTATAAGTCTAAAAGGTCAAATTAACCAAAATATAAATCGGAAAAACAATTATTGATAAATCCTTCATCCTACCTGGAAGCTACATCAGTTGCGATTAGGATCTTGAAGACACTGGACTTGAACTTCGCTAGATTAGCAAACCTTTGCTTCTAAAAATGCAAGGATTGGAACAGTTACACACCAGAGAATACTGTGTTGTCCAGGGCAGTGTGTTTTAATTATTCCCCTCAACACTGCAAAAAATGCGTTATTGGAGCTTCCAAGGAAAGGTATACCCAATCAACCAAGAATTACAACAACTAAGAAATGTAGATTTTTTTTTTTTTTTATACAAGAACATCATTATTGTTCTGGATAAAAAAAAAAAATAAACAGTCTCTCCTGTATGTTACCTGTTTCATCATTGAATGGAGTGCGACGGAGGGGAATTTAAATTCTCGGAGCATCATGTTCAAGATTTGACAGTTTCTATAAAACAAACATGCACACATGGACACAGGTTAGAGCTAGCAGTTGCTCATGGATCCATTCTGACATTGCAAGCTCAATATGGAAAAGCAGGTGGAGGCTTACTTGCACGTGCTGGTGAAGATCATAATGGACCAATCTTCGTGATCATCCTGGAACTTCTGAATGAGATGGACCAGGTAGGCGTCTTTGACCTTCTCAGGGGTGAGAATGTACCTCTGGTCCAGTTCCTCCACTGTCCGCACCCTGCCAGAGCACGCGCACAAACAAGAGGTTCATTCACACGACTCAGATGGAGATAGCAGAAAGGTTCCCTGTATCGATTAGCTGGTCTAGTACTGTACTGCGCTTTTCTGCACCTGTCTTACATAGCTTGGGGCTGAGATATGCCAGAGAGACAGCGATCGAATCCCAGCTGGGGACAAGGCACCGAAACCCAGTGGGCAATTGGCTGAGCGTTGTGATCATCCTGGAACTTCTGAATGAGAGGGTCATCAAACCCTTGGGAGGTTTTAAAAAAAATAACAGCTGCCTATCCTGGACTGGCTATACAAATCCTTTATCTGTACGATAGCAATAATCATCCTTCACCCTTTAACCTGTGTAAAACTGTAAAACTAAAAAGTGTTCAATTTGCAACGTTTCCACTTCTGTCACCAGGAGAACAAACCCAAAACTCTCATTCTCAATTCTTTTGCTTTTCATTAAAAAAAAAACATCTATCCACATGGGATTCAGTCACCAGCAGACTTATTTTCTTTAAACTCTGCTTCACTACAAACCACATTTATACCAATCATCCACATCTGCTTTGGTTGTTATCAGTGTTTTCTATAACCGATGATAAAATATTCACACTAAATGAATGATCACACACACACTATATACAAGTGACTGCCTCTCTCTGCTATTACCCAGCGCAAGCCCTGTCCTGCCCGGAGCAATGGCCGCAGCTGGAACAGAACACAGCTCTTACTCAGACTTGCTTTCCCAGAAGAAAGGCCGGTTCATGGCAATCGTCTTGAGCTCCTGCAGCGTGTCAGTCAGCGTGGCGCTGAACAGGAGGGTCTGTCTCTGGGCGGGAACAGCCCCCAGTATCACCTCCAGGTCCTTGGTAAAATCGGTGCAGCCCTGTTCCAGGAGACGATCGGCTTCGTCCAAAATCTGGGAGAAGGGCAGAAATGTAAATCCAGCGTGCAACTGAACCTAGGACCTCACTTTTCAAGGTGGTCTTCAGCATGTTATTCGGAAATCTTCCTGAACACTGTGGAGTTATAGAACTAGTCCCCAGTCTACATTACACCTGTGTTTCCTTTCTACTTGGATCAAGCTTTTCCTGCCATCTTCTTGGGGAAATTAAGACTTTTCTGAACCCTCCCCATTCCTGTTTTCTCTGTGGCTCCGAAGCAGCCTGTGTGATAGGAATGTCGTCACGAAAAGCAGGTGACCTCACCAGGAAGCGGATTTTGTTCATGCTGAAAGTGTTGGAACTCCTGATGTGATCGGCCAGTCGCCCAGGAGTCGCCACGACGACGTGTGGCTTCTTGGACAGCTCCAGCGCTTGTGCTACCATGTCTACAGACCAACAAGGGAGGGGGAGTGTGAGTCCATTTTCCTGTCCGATACCTCACTCCCGAGGAAAACAGAATTTAGTGCGATTCTAAGTTGCCTCAAAATACCGTACCCATTCCTCCAACGACGATACAGTCCCTCAAACCAAGTGGTTTTCCCAACACCCTGAACTGCTCAGCAATCTGATAGGCCAGTTCTCTGTAAAACACACACACAGGTGTCACCAAAAATAAAATTCAGGAAAAGCAATCAAAAGTTTTTTAAAAAAACATTCTAGGATTAAGTTCAGGTTCTCTATGCTTTGCATGTGTTCCAAAAGACATCACATCTGGATCATTTGGATGTATATTTTGCATAACTGCTTCATAACATAGGAGTCTCCAGAGCAAGGTTTATATGTATCAGTGAAACAGCGGTGAATGTATGACATATATATATAGTACAGTACATATATTGAAACACAACAGCTCATACATGAGGTTACATTTTGCAATGTGATAAGCTGCTATGTTTTATTGCTTGAGAAGTACCGAACCTTGGTACAGTGGGCTCAAGGTGTCATTTCAAGTCCTAACAGGCAGACCGTTTCCACACCAGGCCAGAACCAACACATTTGCCCGATTCGTCTGCACAAACTGACTGCTCCTCGCTCCTAGTCCCAGGACGCCACAGGCTCTTCCATTCCAACATGAGCTCCCGAATGGCTTAACTGAACCAGTCAGGCACTGAAGTGGACCAAATCAGTTATCTATCAGTCCTGCAGCTGGTCTGGGACCAGGAGTTATGTTAAAGGCGTTAACTGCTCATGTTCCATGTCGTGGCGAACTGGTGATTTAAGGGTGGCCAGTAGGCGCGGCGGGACTGTAGCCTTCCACCGCCAGGGCTGGTATTGACACTGCGTACCGGGTGGGAGTGAGCACCAGGCAGAAGATGCCATAGGGGTCTTCCGAGAGTTTCTGGAGCACCGGCAGCACAAACGCGGCCGTCTTACCGCTCCCGGTCTTCGCACAACCCATACAGTCGCGGCCTGCGGGCAAAACAAATTCAGTCACGGCCCCGCCGGAGAGGAGAGTTTCAGTACATAGACCACACGCCTTCTCGGAGAGGAGCATTTCAAGAGCGACATCAGAAACAAATGTTTCCATCAGCTGTAAGATTTTTATACGTACAACATAATCACAGCTCTGCCAATGTCTATGGGTCGCGTCACATATAGTTCAAGCTGAGTGAAGTTGACAATTCAAGATATTACAACAACCAGATGAATCAACTGAACAGTCGCGATGCAGGAGGAACGGTCTAGCCCGAAGCTGAAATCTCTCTATACAGACGGAAACGGGCTCACATATCGCCCAGTCTGAACAGCTTTCATTAACGATGGCCGCGGTAATATCTTGAGGACGGATAATATTTTATGATTTCTTCGCAATAAGTTCTAAACCGAACCAATCGAGTGAAAGTACCGGACTACAGCACCACCTCACCTTCCAAAATCGCAGGCACGCAGCTCTGTTGAACCGGAGTGGGTTTGTTGATACCCATCTGCTTGCACTGCTGAATTAACCAGTCCGACAACCCGAGCGACGAAAAATCCGACATCTTCTTCTTCCTCCTCTAAGATTTCACTACGAATGGGACCTTTCCCAACCTATAGATGTCAGATCTCTAAGTAGCCCGCAGGAAGCGACCCTTGACAAAATGAGCACGCGTGTTGTCGAACCCCGGGCGCACGTCTTCTACGTGACGGTGACGTCACGCCACGCTGTCTTACGGAAGACGTGCAGCCGGGGTTAAAGGTGAATTAGCTTCATTGCTCTGTTATCCTTCCCACTGATGGCTGATATGTGGGGTCTGTGAAGTGTTTTGAGTGGAGTGCTGTATAAATGTAAGGAATTATTTGGTTTGTAATTGTAAACAGACTAAGTTTAATTTTCATTCTTCTTATAGAAGTAGTAAACACTGCATAAAATCTTTTAAGCAAAGCATGCAGTGACTAATAACGTTGATTGATCATTGGATAATAACACCCCCAATCAATTTTTAGTAGTCGTGAGTGGTACTCAAAATACTTTCAACATATGTATAAAATAGGTATGTTTTTCAGAGTTTATGTTTAGTAATCTAATACATCTGCTTGCTTAATTAAAAGTGATTTTTATTCTGGGAAAAGTAAAATCTGGATGCATTTGTAATCAATAGAGGGCAGCAAAGGATTTAAATGAGAGAAAATGTTGTTTGCCTTACTGGCATTTTAAAGATTATGAGCTGTCCTGGAAAATGGGTTTTGTAGGGGTGGTGAATGCGCAAACAGCACATTTTGCATATCAACCGTTTCTCAGACATCCAGAATTAACAAACTTTTCTTTATGTTGTAAACTTGTAATTACAGGGAACGTATTTTAAAGCATCACCTGTAAATACTGCTGCCAGGCCTCTGTCACGGTCAGTGCTATTAAACTAAAAAGGCTTTTTGGAGCCACTCCATGCATTGTGTAGAACTGCAAAATGTAACTTTTTACTTCTCAAGAAATTATAACAGTACTGGACACGTTTTTCATGATAAAAAGCCAAATGTTAAGGATGTGTTAAGGGACAGATAGACATGCTAGTAATCTTCACTATTACGTTTCGAGAATGTTACTGAAAAGTAGGAATTCATAGTTAAAAAAAAGCAAAAATCGTTTAAGAAGCTTGTATGAAACAAAGCAATACTGCTATCTCCTCAACCCCGCCTTCATTATAAACACACCTCTGCCCTGCCTAATTAGGAGGTGGGAGGGGCAACGTGTTAGAAGGTGTGTCGACCTATAGCGGTCTGATTGGAGGACGTTTAGGGAGGGGCGTGGTCACTCGATCCCAAATCCTGTCTGAAACTCATTTCCTCCATTCTCGGAGACAGAGACTGTTAATCATATCTTTTGATTTTCTCCGCCTGTACTGATCTACTAAAATTACATTTTACTTCTGGCTACAAGGGAAAAAATCTTTGAACAGGAAAATAAAACCGCAGTTGGTTGACAGCTGTTGTTTATCCTTTGAGAATAAACTATAGATTTCCCTTTCGTTCGTTTTCTTTTTTTAATTGAACGCCGATTACGCCTCGTTTAGAGGGGCTAAAGTGGATTTATTCCGAGCATTGTTTAGGAAAGTACAGCGAGCAAACTCGCCGGTGTTTATTACAGTATACTGCAGCACGTTTGAAAAGCTCTACGCTGAATCGGAGGTTCCCTGAGGAGCGAAAGAACAGCTGTTACAACACTCACAATACAAACAACGAATGGCATTTTTACAGTGTTTTCTCAAGAGTATATAATGACTGAGTTCAAATCTAGGGCATTAACTCAAGTACTGCCACCTTCAGAGAGGAAAATAGAACATCAGCATAGAATACCACGCTAAATACACTACATATCTTTGTCTGCTTCTGTATTATTAATCTATATTTCACACGGATAATGCTATTTTCTTTTCAAGATTCCTTCAGCATGGTGATGTGAACAATCGGGGTACCTTTCCATCATGTGGACTCACGCTGCGCTTCTGTCACGAAACCAGTCTTTACAGCGCAGTCAAGTCACAGGCTAGTGTGAGAGAGATCTCACCAGTTCTCATCATAAGTGGGGACATCTGCGCAACACTGTTTTTTTCTTGTCAGGTGGTTTAAGGACACAACATGTTGAGAAAAATCAGTTTTTATTTAATCCGTTAGAAAGACAGGTTTATAGTGAGACACACAGCATTATCCCCAGACCTGGATACAGCCAGTTTTCATAGCTGCTGGAGAATAGGGACTTTTTTAATGCCTGCATGTGGCACTTTCCCTGCCTGTCTGGTATGATATTTGCAGTCAGAAAATTTACTGTCACCGAGTCTTGGGAAAGCCAGGAATAAATCTCAAAATGGAGGGATTGAGCCAGACTCCTGGCTAATACAGTGTCTACTTGGGATTGATGTTCACATGTTATGCTTAATGCTATGAGACCCAGTTAGTTTGCAGTGGAATATTAATGGAAAACAGTGATTCAGTATGTATGATCAGGTCAGTCTGAAACTGGTATTTAGTTATATGGCACACGTTGTAGAGAGCACATGTGAGTGTCCTTTCACATTAATTATATTTTAATTTGGTGTTTCCAACTCTTTGTCCTATTAACCTGTTGTTCAAACCAAACAACAAGAAAGACAAGCTTCTGAAAAGACTTGACAGTGTTAACTGAGAAAAAAGGGGATGTGAAAAATACCCAAAAAAGCTGAATTTGGCAATTTGTGCACCATCAGTGTTTTAGGATTTCACTTATATATTTGGCTTCAAGTTTTACAGAACACAGTTGTGTATACGGATAGATCACTTCAAAGTAGATCAAACACTCCCTTAGTAAACCAGAAGAAGCATATTGTGGGGGATTTTTATCTGGTCATCTTCCACTTTAATGGCAGGCTTTGGACTTGCCATGTTTCCGAAGTCTGACGGGCAGCTTGCTTGAATTGAGCTGCCGTGTGGGTTTGGGGGTGTCGGAGTCCCGAATGGGGGGCCGGCAGCACCGGCACATAGAAGACGAATGAAATCACCCGCAGAGCCGGGGGGCTTGAAGAAAGAGGGGCGTTCTCGCTTTCCTCCGGTCGCGTCAGCTGCTCTGCTGTCTGAGGATGAGCAATGGGTTTCATATTGGCCTCTTTAAAGCGGGAGATAAGAACAGAGTCTGTGATTCCTGTTAACGCTTCATGTCAAAGGATCCTAAAGCGTTTTCCATTTAGGAGGGGATCCACTTCATCGACACATGGGAGCCCCTCTGCACCAGCAAGCCCACTAACCCGCAGATCAGGAGCAGATGTGAGCTGAGTTAAGAGAGAGCTCTAGATTGTGCGAGCCTGGGCATTTGAAGAATTTAAGCATCACACCAGTTACCCACTCAAAAAGTGCCATATGATCTCTTGGGATCAAGCTGTCAGTATCATGGTTTAACATCACAACCAAACGAAGGCACCTCCTATCTCAGTCACTGTACTGAGACATTGGTTTAGAAATTCTGACGGAGCAAAGAGCGCCACCTACCGGTCCACCAGCACCACTTGCAGTGGCAACAACCCGATTTCCTTGGAGGCTTTCTATCCCAGGCCCAGCCTCGATTAGCTCCTGAGATCTGACGAGATCAGGTGACACAGTGTCTGCTAACATCTCTGATCACAATTCACTCTAAAACAGGGCAGATCTGAATTCATTTAATTGTACAGCAATGAGCTGGGACATGAAGGGTCAATACCTGAGCTGGCTTACCATCTGCTGTGTGGAGCTCAGTTTGACATTTCACATCCAAAGCAGTGCCTCTTACAGCATGCCCCCTTCATTAACTGCATATTGGCTTGAGTTTTTGTATTTTCTGTTTCAGTCCTCTCTTTCTTGTTTCCATTACTGACCTTACAGAGCTTCTGAGATCTGACAGGATCTTACACCAATGCAGGACAGCTGCTCATCTGGATATAAAAGACATCACCAAGGTGACACACATTCATTAAAGCCAAGTGGAAAGAAATCCGCACACAGAGTCACTATGGAGGAAAATAAATGCCTATTTAGGAATCCACTGCTCTCAGCAGTGTCTGTGCTGCCAGCTCTAGTTTATAAGGTGTAATACACTATTTCTTGATATATGCTCTTAACTGAGATGAGTTACTACTGCATTACTCTTAGCTTTGATATCCACATCCCATTGACAAGATATCTGAGGTGCACAATAATCAGAGTTGTGCTACAGAGTGTTGTGCTACAGACACAGAGAGGACTACTTTCTGCTATGACACTGATACGGCGAAGTCCAAGAGTTTTAAAACTTCTGTAATAGTATCCTATATGAGTCCATATATGTAATGTTTTCATCTGCAAGTTAAGTCCCCAAAGAAATTGAAATCAGTGGTGCACAGCTCCATTCCTGGCACGTCGCAGTGTCTCCAGATTCTATCCCACTCTGCTCTGAATGACCTAATTGGCCTAATCGTTAGTTTCACTGGACCAGTTTAACTCTTTTCGAAGATCTACCAAGGATTTAAAACGACCCAGAAAACCTGCTGGATTCTGGACACTAGAGGAATGGAATGGTGCACCTGTGGTTTAAATAAATAACAGCTCTTTAACAAAGGGAGCGGGGGCGTTCAGACCCGCAGAAAGCACAGAGGGGAGTTTTTTTAAAAACAGAACACGAGGTTCGACAGCTTTAAGCGATGTGTCATTCCGCGTGTAACCAGCAGGTGGCGAACAAGATGGTTTAAAACCTAACTGGAGCAAGAACTACCATCCAGAATGGGATTGTGGCAGCGTTCTCAGGACTGGAAGACACCATGAGCCCGCAGAAAAGTAGAGCTAGCCCGAAGGTTTGACAGTCGTCATTAAACAAACGCAAGAATAAACTCGTTTGTAGACTATTGCAACGCGGGAAGCTGAAATACAGAACATGAGTGTTAAATCATATGGTTAGCGGAGTGCAGAACGAGGAGAAAGAGGAACTTGGCAGTACAGACTCTGAGAGACAAAAGGGCTGCAGTACAGGACGAAGCACCTTCCGAACTTGCAAATACAACGTTTGAGAACATTTTTTTTCCTTCTGAAAAGACTCATAATTGGCGATTCTTGCACAGCTTGATTCCGGGGGGCAAGCACAGCCAAGAACTCATCCCTCTTTTCATGCAGTGAAATTCCGGTGGAAATTTAAGAAGCATCCGGATCCGTAGACAAAAGAACGGGAAAGCCTGACAAAAAACCCTCTCATGACCAGCTAGAAAACGGGGCTGCACAGCATTGACATAAAAACAAAATCTACACAGGAGTAAAAACGAAATGGGGTGAGTTATGTTGTTATTATTTTTTAAAACTTAAAAAAAAAAATGTTGTTAATAGCAGAATGAGGGAAAAGTTAAGGATGGCGCTACATTGACCACATTGCTTCTATGTGGATATTTATAAATAAACTGATGTTTAAGAACATAGCCTCCTTCCAGTGTCTCTTCGCGGATTGACGAATACCAGCAATGCACGGAGAGTATCAGTTCATATTTGTTTTCCTCGCATTGGATGAATTTCTTTTGGGAGGGAAAAGTGCTTTTCTATGAGCTAGCTTCAGAACGTATCTTGACACGTTGCCCTTGGCGGCGTTTACGAAAGCATTCGTCTCGTGTTGCTGGATTAGTCTTTAAAAACCGCTGCGACAGTGGCTGGGTCTGATTTTTTACTTTCTTTAAACGCAAACAAACTTTGAAGCAGGACAGTCATGCTGTGGCTGTCAGTGGCGGAGCCCCCCCTTGATTTTACCGGTATGAAACTAATAAACGAAGTGCTAAAATGAAAATTTGGGACCTGTGCATGCTTTTAAATAATTACCCCCTCCCCCCAGCGCCAGACCTAAGCACATACTGTATGCAGTTAACGGGGCATGTAAGTATGGATCATTTATTTCGAAATATACGCTTTAAATCGGGGAAGCTAGTAAAATGTAGGAGGGATAAGGGAACAGGATTTAAAAGCAGCATAAAGGTTGGAGGAACGCCCTCCTACTATGTTGCAAGACAGCTGAAAAACCTACAGTATTTATGTCGCCCTCAAGTTATTCTGCTTAAGTGCTTTAAAAGAAACCTCTGTTGGGAAAACTTCGCGTCTTCAGAGCGTGGGAACACAGAGCTGAACATTCATATTTAATGAAACGCAACTCGGGCGCAGAACCTTCACGCCAGGTGACATGACTGGAAAGACACTTGAGCGAGAACGTTCGCCAGCAGAAAGCCTGAGAGCTCCGCTGTGACCTTTCGCGGTCTCCAGGATTCCACGGGAGACAGTTCTGCGTGGGTTGCCCTGTCCTGTCGCGAGAGTTTTCGTCTATTAAAGCCACGTGGCAGAGACGATTTCGCCGTGCTGTTCGGAAGCATCGTGTTGCGTTCTAAAGTAACGATACCATCGGCGATTAGTAACATTTAATAGTAGCAGCGAATTGTGTAATTGGATCATAGGTGTTGTTACAATGTACAAAAGTGAGACAGTATTGGAAAGGATCTTTCGTGACAACTTGCATGTAATTGCACGGATATGTGGAGTAAATGTGCTCCGTCCACACACACACACCCGGCTTGATATAAGTAGGTTCACTTTCTTGTGCACTTTCTGTAAAACACGGGTGGGTGTGATTAGTCACGCACTGGAGCAACACAGTGGGACTCCTCTTGTGTTGCCTTTATGCCAAAGGAAAATTCTCCAGTTAGGACCAGCGCTCTTAAATAAAGAGAAGTTTCACCTAATCAGACGATCTTCTGAAATTCTCTGAAAATGTTTTCAGTAGCTGCATCAGGTGTCGTCTCTATTGTTCCTGAAGTTGGTTAGGGTGGAATAAGAAATAAGGTTCATGCCCTGGTATTGACTTGGACACTTCTTCTGAGTGGCTCTGTATGCTCTAGAGCAGAGCTGAAACACTATTCTCTGCTCTCTATCAGATATTGGCATGAAAATCTGGAGAATTTCTATAACCGCCTTCCCGCATGTGTTGTCCTATTGTTTGTGTCTTGCTGGGTATTACTAGGTTGTAATCAGTGACCAGAAATGTAATTGCTGTAGAAAATGTTCTTTCGCTGTGACCTTGTCTGTCTGCAGCTGCTGCTGGTTATCCAGCTTTCTGATGGAGTTGCATGCTCTTATCCTGTCACTTACACCTTTTTTCCCCTTTTCTCTTTCTGCTGTAGAAAAGGAGCTCTTCCTAGCCTGTAACAATGTATCCACTACACAGAGAAAGGTACTAGTAACGTCCTTTGTGTGTGTGTTGTGTGTTGTGTGTGTGTGCGTGCCTCTGTGCTCAGTCAGGTAGTTGGAGGCTGTCCTGCCTGGGAGGTTGGGGTTGGGTGGGGTATTTCAATAAACACATCTTGAAAAGGAAGGTCCTTTAACTTCTGCTCTCCAAAGAACCCCAGTGTGTATTACCCAGGGGTTGTGGTCAGTTGTGATTCATATCCTGGGAAAAAGTTTGCAATAGTGACTTCGTTATGACCTACATTATTTAGTGACTGGTTCTACGGATGGCATTGCAATTACTCGTCTGCAATGGAACAGACCACATTAAAAAACTGTAGAGCAGTTGATCGTGGACATTATGCCAAGTAAATAGTTTATAACCAGTGGGTTTATTTAACATGAGTTCTGTGGCAGAAAGGCCATTGGACACTAATATATGGCTCCAGTGTTGTCTCTTATAGTGGCTGGCAGGAAACTGTCAAGCCCCTTGTGACTTTTATTGAGACGATTTTCTCTGATACAGAGGCAGGGAACAAGGTGAGATGCCAGACAGCTCCTGAAAGGTTCTGTTTCTCTCCTTGGAATAACTTTGCTTTTGACTTTGAACGGTATTCCACTTTCTAATGCTTGCACAGTCTTTCCTTACTGGAATAATTGAGTATGATGTTTTTATTCTAGTAATATTCTGTGCTTGTTTGTAACATTTGTATGTCTTTTGATGGCATTTTAGACCTGTTTGAAAGATGCTTATCAAACTGAAAGGACTCACATTGTTGCTAATATAGCACATTGTGCACTAATTAGAACTGTAATGCCTGGGTGGGCTTTTAAAATCCTTTAAACTAATACTCTGTCCTGTTTATGAGATTTATGAGATGATGAAGGCTTACATTTATGATGATTGGTGGGTTTTTTTTTTATTCTACCTGAATGGACAGCCTCTCAAAAACACAGCAGAATCTGTCTCACTTTTGAAATCTGATTCCCACACCGTCCTGCCTTATAATTAATAGCCCCGTTTGTGATCTGCAGAACCCCTACAGCTACAGCAATGCATGCTCAGATCCTGTATCTTGTCAGTTGAAAAGAAGCCTCCCCACCTGAACACAGGAACCTGTTATGGAAAAGACCAAGAGCTATGGCAGTCCATCACATTATTGCATTGAGCTGTAGGTCTCTTGCCAGGCTTCCTCTGTCCTAATGGATGTGATCAGTTGAGCCAGCCAGTCACATTAAAGGAATTTACAACCTCCAATTAAGCTGAAAGCCCATCTTGCTTGCAATGGGTCAGATCATGAATATAACTCGGGGCATGAGAATGTCTAGACTATGGCTGTCTTTGTTACAGACATAATTTGTTTACAACTCGTAAATCCTTTTCCCCATAATGCATGATGGTAGATGAGGTGTTTTTCTTTTAATATGGCTCTTGTGCACCAGTTTTCATGAGTATTCTGCATGCATTCTGTTTCGTGTTGATTTAACGTCATTCAGCGTGTGCTGTTGGTGATTCCCCGATTGTCTTCTGAAACAATCCCAGTAGATCTGTCTCTGGCTGTACAAGCTGTGGATTTTCAACTCCACAAGTGGCCACTTACGTTAGTTTGGAGTGCATTCTTAGGAACGCTTCAGGAGTTAGAATAAGATGAAATGTATGAAGAAGTAGGCTGGTACTCTGTTATATAAAAGGGCTATATTCCTTAGCTGTGTAGTGTTACAGGTGCAGAACTAAGATGAAACGCACTGTAGGCTGTAGTTTTGGGTTACAAAATCACTTTAATGCTCATAGAATGAAAGAAACAACCAGAAATTCCAGCCACATTGTTGGAGACCTTGGCCTGTGTAAATATGGGTTTTTCCCCAGCATTAATTCCTTTGTATCCCCCTGCGTAGGCCCTTGGCTTGCTCGTGTGCCGTATGTGTGTGTGGGGGGAGTATTTGACCACTGTCCTACTGTCACCTCTCCTCCAAACAATCTAAGTCCAAGTATTTCCTTAATCCCTTTGCATAACCCTGAAAATGCATTGTTAGGTTGATATGCTTATAGGTTTAAGGCTCTAAGCTTTAAGCACAAGAATTTAGCATTCATCTGAAAAATGGCTACTATTATCTCCTCTTCAATAGTTTTTTTTTGCTGTGTCATGGTGCTGAATGGAGCTTCTCAAGTTTCCCAAGTTCTGGAATGTGGACACGAGGTTATTTTTGCTGTCAGGGTGCCAGTGGAATCAGGCCTGTGAAAGGATATTAACACACACGCTGCCTGGTCAGCCCCAACTCTGCAGGATTTGCAGGAAGAGACATGGGCTCATTGTGAGGGCTGTGTACTGTGAGTCATCCTTAAACACTGGAAAACTGGATAAACAAATATCGTTTTACATATTAAAAAATACAAAGGTCCTTCTTTTTTTGTTTCCCTAAAATCGTGCAACTTTGTTCCTTATTATTTCTGACTTGTGAAAGGTAATCTGTTCAGAGGTTTTGCTTTTATGGTTTTCAAAATGTGTGGGAATAGAGCAATGCGTTCACTTAGACTCTCAAGAGGAACTAGTGATTAGCACCACAGAATCTGAACTGTTTCATCTCCCACATGGATATTCACTCAAACACTCTTGCTGAAGAACATGGGTACAATCCAAAAAAACAGATTCAGTTTAATAAGTGTTCTATCACTCAACCCTAAGTTTCAGCGCAAAGTAAATTATAAACTCCTGCTTTTTTCACCCATACCTGTCTGCTAGGCATGAGATCTGCAGATGGCCACTTTTTGTTGTTGATGTTCATCCTTCCTGTGAATTTTCTTTTTTTCCTGCAGTTGGAGGAAAAGTCAAAGAGGTTTTGGATAGTCCTGTTGCTCTGGAAATGTGCTTTTAATCCACGCCGAGTGTTCGGTCTTTGCCAAGCTCGCGCCGTTCACTGCCTGGGGAGATCTCCCAGAGGCAGGGATCGGTTTCTGAACAAAAACAGGTTGAGCAGGACATCGCCTGACAAGTGAGAGATTTTCAAGTAGGAGGATTTTAAAAAGCTTAAGGTGCTCTTACAGTAGAGGGGTTTAAAAGTGTTTTCTCCCATTGCCACAGATTTGCCCTTTATCATCTTGTCTGCAAGCAGACTAAAAATAAAGTACTTTTTTGTACTTTAATTTCAAGGCAACAGTTTGCAGTTGCTGAATTACAGGGTGGGAACCTACCACATTGGGATGAGAGAGTAATAAGACTGCTACTAAGAGCTATGGCAGTCCATCACATTATTGCATTAAGTCTTTTGCCAGGCTTCATTTAAGTTTATTTCAGACAGTGAGAACTCCCAAAAGAGGTTTCCTTGCAGTACCTAAAAAGTGACTAAGCTCCTTCATTCAGGCTTAAATATGTCTGGTTTCTCCCGGGCACAGTGATTTATACAGTCACATACTGCATGTCTTATACAGAACCACTGCAGAAGCAGTGAAGGGAATCCAAAACATCCTTGGACATGGAAGTTAACGGAGACATGACTGCACACAACTGGCCATGTACTTTGGGATAGGGTGGGATTTGGCGGGCCAGGCGCCAGGGTTTTCTTGGGCTTTGATGAAATGGTCACTTCTGTGTTTCTTTTTGGGGGTACTGCAGGCTTGTAGTGATGTCAGCGAGAGATGTGCTGCTCCACTAATCAGTGCTAACTCTCCTGTGGGGCTCTGTGCAGCTTGCTGCGTGTCAAAAGGTGAATGGCCCAGACAGGTGGGTGTGTTGGAGGGGGCTGTTAGCAAGGCCTCATTCTCCCTGTGTGCTGCAGTAATCATGAGCTGAGATTGAGCCTTAAAACCCTAAATAGCTTCCAGATGGGATAGGTACATAACAAATGGCTGACCGGCATTTCCAAACGTAATGAAAAGTTCAATTAAACGTGGAAACAGAATATATATGTAAAGAACTTTGGGTGTCTGTAATAAGAATCCTAGCTGTATTGTTGAGGCTAATTCCTTGGAGTGTCACAAGATATTACTGCCTGAGCTACGTAAGACGGTCCCACACAAACAAAATAGGCTCTAATACCTTCTCTTGTTTGGAACGTCTTCCCTATTGTTTTCTCTTTATGCTCTAGTGACACAAAATCGTTCCACAGATTTATCACTGCAATGCTAAGTGACGACAGATGCCTCCGATCGAGAGGGGGGGGGCTACCACCATGCTATTCTGAACACATTTCCGAGGTGATCACCTAGACCCTCTGCCTCTGTTTACACCCGTACAATGGCAGTCTGCATGTTTCCATAGAAATCAGCGACACGTAACAGTGGGGATAATTACTTTGTGTGGTTCCCATGAGAACACTATTTATATCTCCAGTGCCAGGCAAACTCGGCTCCACAAGAAAAGTAAAAGTGCCAGATGGCAAAGGTTCAAAAGCATTAATACTCCCTATCAGGGGGGGAAAAAACTCCTTAAGGTTTTTCAAGGGTGTTGTGGAGGTAGACTGTAAACAGTTGATGGTGATATTTAGCAACTTTAATATATTTGAACTTGGATGTGTCTGGGCTTCACTCTGTTTTATTGATTTCCACAGAACAAACTGTTAACAGACAGTCTAATAAATGGATACACACCACATTGTTTCTTTTTGTGTATCCATACCTAGCACAACTTTTCTAACTGATTTAAGCACATAAAGGCCCACAGTAGTCATTAATTAATACCAGAGACTCTCTAAAGTGCTGCTCCTCATGAAACCAGTGTCTTCATACCTGAGCTTTATTGATTAACTAAAACCTTATTGGACTATTTGCTTAATTTTATGCTTTTAATAGTTTTGAGATCTTAACATTTTAACTGATTAATTTTATTTTAAAAAATCAATTTTCATGTTCTTTATAACTATTTTAATTAAATATTAATTGTATAATAAAAGAAGTCACAAGAATCAGGATTGCATTGCCCCTCCTGATTCCTCCTCAAGTTGAGACTAAGGGGCAGAAGCCCATATGTAGTAATATTCCACTTATTCTGGCTTGATTTCTGGCCAGTATTTTGACACCCAGGAATCCCCGATTCTGTCTGCTTCGCATTACCCCTCCCTTCTGTCTCTGACCTGTCATAGGATTGTCCTACACTGTTCAGTTGAAGCCCCCACCTCCGGCATCAGCTCCTCAATAGCTTAAGAACTGTGGGAAGGGGTTACAGTCAGGGCTTGAATGGAGAGTAATACTTCCCTTGCTAAAACAAGTCTTGCTATAGTTTCACGACTCAAGCCCTAGTTCCAGTTAAACACCCTTACCCCACCTCGAAGTCTGACTGTGACGGATCTGAGAAGCTAAGCAGGACAGTACCTGATTAGTACTGGGACAGGAGACCTCCAAGGAAGACCAGGTTGCTGCTGTTAGTGGTGTTGGTGGACCAGTAGGTGGCACTCTCTGTCTGGACCAGAAATTCCCATTCAGTTCCCCTAGTATGGTGACGAGGGTGTGCTGCGCCGCACCTTCAGGTGAGACGTTAACCTGATGGTATGGACTTCAGTTAAAAAATCCAGTGGCACCATTTGACAGACCTGACGTGATAGTGCTGGTGTCCTTGCTGCCTAATGTTCAGCTGTAATTTCTCACTCCCATACCTGATCAGCTGTGTGGTAGGCCTGCTGGTGCATAGTGGGCCCTGTGCATTGCCCAGGTGGGGTCTGTACGTCAGTGTTGGATAAAGGGGGTCCACTGCTGTGATTGAAATCCTTCGGGATGGAAAGGGTTTTGTAAATGCAACTAGTAGATAAATGTAACAAGTGCAAGATACTTGCATATGATCTGTTTGTGACCCTTATAAGAGGGCTCGTGGAGTAAGATGAGACTGTTACAGTGATGAGATTCCCTGGGGCACTCAAGCACACTTGAGCTCCCTACAGCTCTGCAGATCTTTTGGCATTGCAGGATTGCACTGGCACTGCAGTCAAAAGGCAAAGACAAGTAAGGAGAAAGTCATGCTCTCATTACCGGACACTGTGACAGCCAGACCACTGCTGGCTTCCTATACTCTTGACGCAGTGCTTTCCCACAGGTGATGAGGAAGGGTGGTGTTGATTATAGGTGTAGGGGTATATTTTCCTGGCAGGTTCAACCAATTAATACGCAATCACAGCAGGGAAGATTTTTGGCTTTTCAAATGTCATTAAAATATTTACGGTGTCTCTAGGATACCTGTGCGCTGTAGTGCCATGTGGCGCTCTCCTCTCAGAGGGCCCTTGACACTGGAACGCTGTGTGGTATGTGCAAGCTTGCCAGTTTGGACCACATGCTCTCATATTTTCCCTTGCTCAACCTCTCCTCCCAGGCTATCTGTCCTGTTCGGTCCTTACACATGCGTAATGCAGCCACAGTCTGCCTGACAAGGTCAGTCTTGGTATTAATTTCAAGGCCTACAACTTTGCTCTTCTAGAGGTGCCATTCCAATGACACGGTCTTTTACTGTGCAGATTGATTTTGGGTTGTTTTCTTTTTGGCCTTATTTTTCCAAGAATTTATGTAGCAAATCATTGAAAACTGTAAGCAAATCATGTAAAATGTTGATATTGAGCAAAGCCAGTTTTTTCTAAACGTCATCTGATAACTGTTTAAATCGGCATGCAATCTAATGGCCAGACTTTAAAATGCCTACAGAGTAAAGAAACCCCAGGATGTAGTCTTGTTTTGGGTGCACAAAATGAACCAGAGGCTGGGGATCACTAGTTGCCTTGTTTTGACCTTCTGGTCTTTGTAAGACACTGGGGGAAATAGTTCAAAATTCATGACCAAAATTCTGGTTTATACATGTTATACATACATCCTTTTCTGTGCCTTGAAAGATTTTAACATTTTTCAAAACTTTAAATAAAATTGGCTTTAGACACAAAATAAATAAAGCTTTTGCCACAAAGTTTTAATGTACTTGATGGTATGTTTTTACTTAGCTCATTTGTGGGTTTTTTTTTAATTGACTTCTGCCAAATGGAATCCTGTCCTCTGGTATGAAGTTTCTAGTGGGGTAGTGAGTCAAAGATTTGTCTGAATCTCGTTAGCATGAGGACCGTCCCCTGCTGGGTGAGGTAACGCATATAAGAACAGAAGAGGTTAGAAATGAAAGGCCATTCAGCCTGTCTTCCCCTTAGAAAGAATTAGTAGTTAATCAGTCCAAGGATCTTATCCAGCTGTTTGTTGAATGAAGCCTGGGTATCGGCTTCAACCACATGGCTGGTTAGCTTGTTCCTGACTCTATAGCCATTTGGGTAACGAAGAGGCTCCTATTCTCACTTGAAAATGCGCCTTCTTTATTTTCCACTTGTTTCTCTCTTCATGGTAGTATGGGAACTGTCTGAATGCCAGCTGTATCTGAGCCAACAGTGCTTATCGAACGTGTAGGTGAGACAGGTATGCATTTATTCTTTCAAATACTGTATGATAGTTTACAGAGTGGATTTATCCAGAAGTGTAATGGAAGAATCCATATCTCTGCAATTTACCTTAATTCCCTGTTAATGTGTGTGTACAGCTATGACTCGAACCTCAATATAGATGTGAGATTCCAAATCAAATCCCTAGTCCTCGTTGTCAGTGCGGCAAAACAAATTCAAATTTGGTTTCCCGTTTGACTGGGATTAGCGCAGACATTTTCCACCGGCTGGAAGAGAGGGGAGCAATTTAAAATTCCACTGGAAAAGCTTGAACGCAAGAGAATCGCCTCTGTTCCCCAGGAACGACTGAAGAGCCATGGGGAACTACCTCACACAGTCTTTGCTCTCTGTTTAGGATGGCTCACGAAGTGACTCCCAGACTTTCTATGGTAATGGCAGTTGGAGAATCCTGCCCTGATTTCTCATTAGAGTTCTAAATGAACACTGTGTTGTTTAATAGAAGAGGAGCCTGTAGCTACAGTAGCTCTCTAAAATATGGTAAGAAATGGGTTATGCTGGTATGTTCTGTATGTAGGACAGCTGTCTAGAGTCAAGTCCGATTTCTGACTGGAGAGAATGCTAATGTGTGTGGCTGGGCTTGATTCACGTTCTTTCTTAATAGTCCTTGATGCTTGCTTCGACTCCAGCCAGGAGTGGAGGGAGTGCTTCTGTAGTTTTCGTGGGCATTGTGGGAACGAATTAGGTCTCTTTCAATGAAACCCAGCCTGTTCTGTGTGGACCGGCTGACGTCAGACCGCAGAAGTCATTTTAAAAGCTAGATTTTACGCGGCTGAGTGCCTTGCTTTCTTGAGCGCTGATTGCCACAGAAGTTACCATGGAGCTGCAGCGTGCTGTCTAAATTGTCCCTTCCCTGTCGGAACCCCAGCAACCAATTAGAGCCTTCAGGTTCATGGCATTTGTATCCTTGTGGAAAACCGGTATGGGCCTGTAATGCATTTCATAGCTTTAACCTACTAATGTGCTGTCCACCTGCAGCGAGAGTGACGTTAAACAGATTTAGTATTAAGCTTTTCCAGTTTAAAAAGAAAAAAAGTAGAAACGGCATTTGCTTGATCATATAGGAACAGTCTCATTCTGACATGAAAGTTAGTCACACATCTGGCTCGGTCCTTTTTTCTTAATTAATGCCCTTGCTAACAAACATTACTGGTGCCGTAGTGTCTTGTGTTCAGGTACTTGACGGTCATTTTTGTAAAGATCAGGGATAAGGAGTTGATTCATATCCTGCTTATTTTAAAGGGCTTTTGGAAGTGGATTTCTTGGCTCTGATAAGGAATCTAGTTTTCACTTGTTAGATGCGGATGTCCTGTCAGTGGTTGCTTTTTCTTTTTAACACCTCTTGTTGGAGGTTAGAGATGCAAAATGTAATTGAGGACTAAAATAATCACTAAAGTGTTGTCAAAAACATTTTCTTTATTTGGTATCGAGCATCTTTTGTTTTTGTTTGTGAAAGGATTGTGCACAAGGGAAACTCATTTGTCGATCAGACTTGTCTGTCTAGGATGCTCAGTGAAAAGAGACAGATGTTCAGGAAAGGCAGCAATTTTTTTTTTAATTTTCACACCCATCACTCCAAAATGAACACTCTCATTATCTGTTAGCTTCTAAATTGAGATTTAGTCTTCAGTGCTCCATTTGTGCGTTTGTAGAATGTGTTTTTCAGAGCAACTGGGTTACAGAACGCATTACTTAAAAAGAACCGACATGACAGAGTCCTAGCTGGATGTGGAGCAAGTCCGAAGTAAAACAGGGAATTGTAATGTCTTGCTCTCAACTCATTGTGGCGTTTTTGAATTTCCTGTCTCCTGTTTCTCGGCAGGGAGCAGCCGATCTTCAGTTGCAGGGCTCACGTCTTTCAGATCGATCCGGCCACAAAGAGGAACTGGATCCCCGCCAGCAAGCACGCTGTCACTGTGTCCTTCTTCTACGATGCCACGAGAAATGTCTACCGGATCATCAGCGTTGGGGGCACGAAGGCGAGTTTCCCCATGCGTCCCTTGTTTCAGAATGAATGAATGCGAAATACTCCAGTCGGGACAATGGGCTGCCACTGGGGCTCGTTAATTAACACCTCAAGCCTGATCACCCTGCTTTGCAGCAACTGCAGATCCTCTCTTGCCCTTGTATCCTCTCTGATACAATTCCTGCATTAATGACCATTGTATCTCATTATAGAGATGGGCTGTGCAAAGCAGTCCAGGGTAAAGTGTTAACAATCCATCATCCTGTCTAACCCGCGTGATGGAAATAGCATCCTTGTTCCTGTGCAACCGAGGAAGCATTTTCCCCAGCTGTAACATTGCAGTTTAGAAGCCATAGAAGCCAAAAGGATTATTTTTGTCCTGAAATGGTTTTTCCTGGATGCTGTAAGTTCATGCTGAGCTGGACTTGCCAGGACTATGGTTTTTCTTATTTTGTCTCATTTCAGTTCTGGGCTTGCGGGGAAAAAAAATCTTCTTTCTGGCTGGTGTCTCTGTTAGCTAGATAAGACGGTGGAATTAGAAGGGCTCGGCTTTTCAGCCTCAGAGGTGCTAGTTCCCTGGATGTAGTTTCTCAAGTAGAAGATTCACAGGATAAGCCAACACAAGCGATTCTTGCAGAATTAGCATCCTGTTTTAATTGCGAAGTGGTGTTAATGAAGGCGCTGTACCTGGGATGCGTTTTCTCACCTCGTGAGTCTCACTCGGTTGTCGGAGAAGCTGACAGACTCTGTGAATGCGCGCTCGTGTTGGCACAGCTGGAAGACCTGATTACTAACAATAGGAGCTTAGACTTCTGGGATGGCCTACGATGTAATCCTCTTCTGACCCCGGGTTCGGGCCAGGTGTTCCTCAGTGCTGTGTTCTTCCTTTGCATAGCAGATCTTCAAACATGTGGACCAAAACAAAATCCCTCCCGAATTATTGTATAATCATTTCTTTAAAAAGGTCCCGATAGAATATGGGAACGTTTGCCTGCTTTTCTGATGGGTTGCGATACAGAGAGCATGGGGTTATTAATATTAAGACGGGTGTGATAGACATGTCTTGGCAATAATGCACACATAAAATGGGATTGAAGGAGAGCTCAGTGTACATTTAAAAGTCCTACAAGAAGCTTTAAACATCAATCTTGGTGTGCAAGCTCTTCCGATAAATTTAACATTCTCGAGATTAGGGGGCTCTCTTTCGGCATGGTTCTCACATTTGTGTGATCTTTAATTGCAAACATGCACTCTGTGAGAGGGCCACTGCAAAATGTCCCGTAGAAGACGCAGTACAAAGACTCGAATTGCAGAAGTCAGGCTCCCTTCTTGCAGCCAGGTGAAGGAGAATGGGGCATCGCCACCGCCAGCAGGACCCAGAGGGTGTGAGTCCTCGATCAGCGATGCTTGGTGGGCGTGTGAGACTGGGCTCCAGAATCATAACTGGAAGGTTGAAGGCTCAAATCAAATACTCCTTAAAGCCCTGGAATGGGAGTGTTTGTGATCTCTGCTCTGTCCTGTCGCAGGCCAAAGCCTGCAGCTCTCCATCCTATAATTTATCCATTTTAATACAAGCGGGTTTCTGATTGCCTTCGTTTTACATCTGCAGGCGATTATCAACAGCACCATTACGCCCAACATGACGTTCACCAAGACATCGCAGAAGTTTGGCCAGTGGGCAGACAGCCGAGCAAACACTGTGTATGGCCTGGGGTTTGCTTCAGAGCAGCAGCTGCATCAGGTACAGCTAGCACAGTAAATCAGTGGAGCAATGACAGGGATCTTTTAAGAGTCATGGGGGATGCAGCTGTTCAGAGCTGAAAGTCTGTTTTTTTTTAAATGAGCTCTCGATCAAATGCAGCGATCTGTCATTAGACCAGCTTAATTTGTTCCTCAAAAACTGAAAGGTGAAAACTCTTATAACAGAAATTAAATTGCAATTACTTTCCATGTTACTTAAGCACGAACCAGTACTTAAGCATGAAAACAATAATATTCCTGGCTAATTATTTGAGTTACATGCTTAAAGTCATGAGCTGATGCATAAACAATAAACAGTTGCATTCTTACAGTCAATAGCAAAGCCATATATGTGGTACTGTCTTATAGTATATGCACTTAAAACACTCAAGACTTTAGTATAAAACAGTTAAAATGGAATAAAAAAAGGACATTTCTCATCCAAGAAGATCTGAGAAAATAAAAATCTCAGCCATGCTTCACAAGAGCCCAGCTCGCAAAAGTGAAAATCTGCTCATTAAATGGGAAAAAAAAACCATAGGAGTAACTACACCTCGTATAAACAGAAACTTGTGAAGCAGTTGCTTGTAGTGTGGTGTTCAAAACATACCTAGAAAGCCTGCGTGGGTTTGGCCTTAAAACATTGCATTCTAGGTTCTGCTGTAGAAAAGACTGGATGTCTCGACTGTATTATTCTGATTATATACTGATTGAAGGTACTGTACATCATCCCGGAAGGCTCCTAAGCATATCTGGATGTCTTGTAGATTTAAAAAGAAACACTATAACATTCAGTCCAAGTTTGAGTGTTATTTTCATCATGAATTTTAGACTGATGGATCATTTTTATTTTTTTTGACAATCTACACATAGTGTCGTTATTTAACTCCATTTTATACGTGGTGGCAGTGAGGCCCAATGACTCTCACAGCAAGGAGTTATGGATTGCTTGTTGTATAGCAAATGTGTTTTGTGTGATCAGAAAAAAGAAACCAGTAATAATTCCTCACACTTCTATAGTTCCTGGATTCTCCACTCAGTGCTTTGTAGGTTTTGGGGATCCCCTCCACCACCACCAATGTGTCCACCTGTATCATCCATCTCAATCATCCACCTGGATGATGCGCCAGTCCTCTCGCACACACCAGCTCTGAGCGCAGATTGATGAACCCAGTTCAGAGACGGGGGTTATTAGGAGGCCAGGGGGAAATTATCCAGAACACTGGGGTGACACCCCTACTCTTTTCTATAAACGCCCTGGGATTTTTAATGACCATAGAGTCAGGACCTCGGTTTTAAGTCTCATACAAAGGACGGTGCCTTTTTTTTTTACAGTACAGCGTCCCCGTCATACTGAGCGCACCCTACTGGTCTGCACTAAGCAACGTTTCTTTAAGGTGGAACATGGAACTGTACTGCAGTCTTTAAGCATGGCTGGGCAACTGATGTGCCAGAGTGTGAGAGATTTGTGTCTCGCTTCTTTCTTCGCAGTTTTCCGAACGGTTCAAGGAGGTGAAGGAGGCGGCACGTCTTGCTCGTGAGAAATCTCAGGACAAGTTTGAGCTGACCAACCCTGCCCTGAACATCGCAGCCCCCCAGGTAACTTGCAGACGGCATCTCTGTCCATATACTGCCCTCTGCAGGAGAAATGCTCAGAGGATGTTTATATTCTACATGTTTATCCGGAATCCAGGCTATGGAATGCACCTTAAATGTCCTTTCCTTTTGCCAACAATGAAATCAAAATCTTCTTAGAACGTCCTTCATAAGCTACATTGATGTTAAGAGCTTTTCGAAGGTTAATCTTGCACTTTCACTGGTTATTTCATAAAACCAGGAATTCCAGACTGGGGTTTGAGCCCATAAACCCCCACTTGTTCACTTTTGGTGGTTCTGATTGGGAGGTTGAGTACACCCTCTGTCCTTCCTGAGACGAACGTAGGCAAAGAGTTACTGTCGACCCTAATGCCTCCGGGGGAAGGAAACGAAGAAAAATGAACAGGTCATTTTTTTTTCTTGAGGAAAGAGAAGAACTAGGGCACTGCTAAAATTATCACATGCCCCTGTTTTCTCTTTGGCAGGATTTTTGACATGGCTTGGGTAACATTCTGAGTCTTGCCCAGTGATCCACTGGACAAGAAACTGTCTCTTTTATCAGACGGTTAAGACTCAGTGTACAGTCCCTGTCCTGTACAGCCCCAATCCAAATAATCTTATAGGTCACCCGTCTCTAAAGATTGAGCACGTCTGTAAATTATAAATGAATTAAGCAAGTCAATTAGCAGCACCTGGGTCCTTAAGGGTTCAAGGTTATTAAGACTTTGGTCCTAAAAGATCTCGGATCTCAGTTTAACAAATTGCCTGCTTAAAAGGGAAAACTGCAACGCTATTTTTATATTTCGGGGTTAGAATGAATCGGCGTTGATGAGTGCATTTCAAACCACAATAAAAGTCAAATGGCCACAACTTCTAAAAGCTCCAGTGTTCATCACAAATGGATAGAATTTCCATAATGCCGTAATTGTCTGTGATTCCGAATGAGGCAACAAAACATCCGGTGAGGTATTAAGTTTTAAAGAAGCGGGTTTGTGAATACATCTCTTTTAATCTAATACAAATATCACTCTCGACTTCGAGACTGTTTTGCCCACTAATACTACTTACAGTAGTTATTAACCTGACATGCAGATGCCTATGGAACACTTCTGTGCTGAAATTCTGCAAAACATTACAGTCATCACAGTGACTAGTGAGCAGGAAGGGCTGCTTCACATGACAATTTGTCTGGACTCGTGCTCTCCCCCGTGACAAGGCCAGCGGTTTGCAACAACGATTTACAGTACTTTCACAAAGTTCCCGATTTTGTGCTGAATTCGGAATTTGCTTATACCATTAATTAATTTTGTTACAGAGATTTAATCACCAGTCTGAGAAATTGAGACTGCAGTTGCCCATTAACATATCCTGATTAAATTGATCAGTCTTAAGAACATGATGTAATATACTTCTAAAGTCAGTGGCGCTGGGCTGGGTTTAGATAAGTCATCATTACTGTGGCTATTGACAAGTTCAATGTAAAAAATGGTTAGGAAGTTAAATTCAACAGTGCGTCTCTGTATTCTTATTTCTGTGGGACTTGGTCCAGTAGAAACCTGGTATTAGATATTATCTGGAGTCCTGTCTACTCGCACGAGTCTTATCCCAGTTTATTAACAGTGAATAAGCTTGCTGAGTATTTTGTGCATCTCTCGTCTGCTGCATGGGAGGGGAGAACAAATTCTTCTGAAAGAAACGTCGGGAAGCGGTTTGTTGGTGGACAAAACAAGACGTGTGCGCGCGATAGGTGGTGATGAATTGGGGAAAGCAGTAATAGGTAGACCTTTGTGGGTGTAATTAATTTTTTCTACAGTAACCCCGTGGGTGTTATTCACTCAGCTTTTTAGAACAGGTTATTGTTCGTCTTCTTTCTTTTCTCCCAAGGTCGGAGTGAAAGGAGAGTCGTAGAGAAGCAGGCAGGGCTGTAATCTGGCTGCCCGCTGTGTGGCGGAGGTGCTCTCGGCAGCCTGTAATTGAGATGCTTTCTTTGATCTGGAGCTCACTGACACGGGAGAGGGCTCTCATTACCGCAGTCGGTGCAAGTGCGTTTTGAGTGACGCTGAAGTCCGGTTCTAGCTGGTTAGGGCCCGAGTCCAGCGCGGCCTGTGGCCGAGAACAGAAGAACTGTGATGACGGAGTTCCGTATGGGTGCAGCTGACCCAGGAAGTATGGGGCTGCAGTGGTCAACAGCGCTGGGGCCCTGGGTTCGATTCTGGACCTGGGGTGCTGTCTGTGTGGAGTTTGTATGTTGTCCCCCCCCCGTGTTTGCCCGGGTTTCCCCAAGGAGCTCCGGTTTTATCCCACCGTCTGAAGAACTAGAGATGGGTTGATTGACTTCTGGGAGAAGTGTTAGTATTTGTGTCTGTCTGCCCTGCAGTGGACTGGTGTCCTGTCCAGGGTGTACCCCACCATGTGCCTGTTGCTTGCTGGCATAGGCTCCGGTTCCCCTGTACCCCTGAATTGGAAGAAGCCGTTAGAAAATGAATGGACCCCTGCCTGAGCTTGGCCCTTTTTTTCTTTATCGTTTTTTCTTGAAACGTGTGGAGCGTTAAAGTGTTTTTTTTTTCACCTCCTCTTCTTTCATTTTTTTGTCCCCCTCTCGCTCTCCTCTGTCTCTGGTTCTCCGGTGGTCTTCACCTCTCCCAGCTGTCTCAGGTGAGTGTCCATCACGCACTGTGAACCTTTTGGGGTTACTGCACAGTCCCCTCCCCCCTTCCCCATGGTATATTGGTTCTGACCTTGCGCAGAGCTCAGGGAGAAAAGCGGACTGTTCCATTACCCCGGGGGGTGCGCCGTGTGAATTGCCACTATGGCACAAATCATAACTGATTCCATGCAAAACAATACTATGTTAAAGACATTAAATATACTGTATGCTACCAGACAATTTCACTCATAAATATTGCTTTTCCCCTTTACCATGGGAGATCAATGCCAAAGACAATAGGGTTCCACATTTTTCAATAAACTAAACTGTTTAGTGGACTCCAGACATTTTAGGGTTGAGAGCTACTCTGCATGTTTGGCTTTTTTGTGTTGCATAAGAAAATAACCCAAATTATAGTTAAGCCTGATACTTTGATGCTTTAATAAAATAATAATATTGCCCAAAGCCGTACAGTGTAAAAATGTAGGCATATGGCATTTATGAGAGAGGTTTTCCTCATACAGATATATAAGGGTCCACATGAATGCATCTTAATGGAGCTGTGCTCACTGCAAGGAACGTGTGAATTATTTATGTGGAAGTGCACAAGTAGGCTGAGCTGAATGTTGAGGGTTTTTATTTTCTTATCGTGGGGGTTTAATAACGTCATGGGTCACCTTGAATTGTTAAACCAAGAATGACGACGGAAAAAAGGCTACTGAAATTCTTCTTGGCCTGGAGGCCTGCCATCTGGACTCCAGGATTTGTGTGCAGGATGGAGTTGAGTGGACAGACCTGGGACGGGGCAGATGTCTCTGCCCCTGCGGCAGCATCCCTCTATAGTCGTAGTCCAGATAGTGGCAGCAGTAGGAGGGCAAATGTTTTCTGTGAAACCGGAGTTTCATTTGTCACTGAACTCCTTGTGTTAACCTCTTACACCTCTACTAGTTACTCTTCGCAAAAACTGTTACGTAGACATAGACCTTAATTATTCCTTGGGAGGGGTCTGGCACACCCCCCTCCCGACACTCCCCATCTGGCCAAGAGCACCTCAGGGGGGCTCCTCGTACCTCAGAGGAACAAATTCTCAACTCAGCCAGCCTGAAGGGAGAAATAAACTAATATTTAAAACAAAACTAAAAAAAAACAAAAAACTCCACTGCTTTAATCTAGGAGAAATAAGCGGGTCCCAGAAAGTTAACGGCTAAAAACAACATAAGGAAGCAAAGCAAAGTATTGCATTGGCTTGTGCCAGAATAACAAGCAATAGCAAAGGTCAGTGATCCTAAGGGTTTTCCGTCTCGCTCTGTCACCGCTGAGAAAAAGGCCAGAATAGCCATGCACAGTTCGTCCTTGCCTGTCTTGACCAGGACACATTAAGCAGCCAGCGCCTTGGTCTCCTGGTGTATTGTTCTGAGCTTCGGAACAAAAAAGAACTTGCGGGATGTCTTATTAGGAATGTAGAACGGTGTATCTGCGTGTTCTTTTTTTGCCAAGGACAAAATAGCCTCTTGAATTTAAAATAGTCTTCAAATATGTGGCGGACTGATATTCTTGTGATTTTTCTTCCTTGTTCTGGCTGCTCGGTGGCATCTCTGACCTTCCAGCTGTCTCAGGTGAGCAATGTGTTTCTTGTTCCATTCGCGTGGCTGGGGTCCTGTTCTTCCGTGTTGAACAGTTGTGGCTCCGAACGCCGATCTGCACATGCGCAGGAACCTTTTACCCAGAAATTTCAAGCTCTGTTCAGATGTGTACCAGGGATCTCGTTGACTGTAGTTTTCCCCAGCCTTATTAAATCGAGTTCAGAAGCCCCGGGAAAGAGAATTTATACAAATGTGTGGCACTGCTAAGCCTGAGGAGAATCTGGGTTTGAGGATGAAAGGTTAACAGCCTGGGGAAGTCTGTGGCTGAGAGTGAGAGTAAGTGGCCAGGCTGAAGCATGACTGCAGGTCTGCATCTGCCAATAATGAAAAGCTCAGGCCCAGTGAACACCAAACACTCCTAACGAGCCGTGGCCATGTGTCTTGTAGTAGGAAATTAAGTGCTACCCTTTTCACCTGGGGTCAGTCATTTTTATTTTTATTCTGAAAATTCGAACAAGACGGAGAAACATAAACAAGACGGCCAGACAATGGGGGATAAAAGCTCAAACTTCCTTATGCCTTTTTTACAGTTTTCTTGTAGAAAAAGTCCAAATCTGATGGAAATAATCACATAGGGATTGGGTATGTAAACCAATTGGGGATAAGTACAAAACCTGAGGTCCTCCTTCACTTCTGTTTGATCTCCCGCCTTATATGTGTACTTTGGGGAGATTTCTAAAATGTGTTGGGGCAGTTGGAAAGTAATATGGCATGATTTATACATGATCTTTAACATGTATAATTCAGCATCTTCTGTTCCCTGGGCTTTGCAGCTCTGCCTGGAGTTGTCTTGTCATCATTAATTTCACCACGGGGCT